GATAAACTGTTAGAAATGGCTAAATTCTAATCCCTTAACAAACTATGGAATAGTCCATCGACAAACTATGGGATAAGGCTATACCCTCGTGCATTGAAAGGCTGTCAAAAATACCATATGGATTTTTATCTACTTTTCTCCCTAAGCAAACTCCTACCAATTGATCATGCCATGTATGATATTCATTTCAAAAATTTCATTGTTTCAATGTCAACACATTGGGCTTATGATAATACGCTATCCAAGTGAGCATAAATCTCATTTTCAATCTCAACACAATTATCTTTATCATACCTATCATCAACTACTCATTTCAATACCATATTGTAAATTTGAAATTCATTTCAAATTCACTTTTGCATCTTTAGTTCAAATCAAAGCAAATATACAATCTCATGATTTAATAACATGCTTACACATTCACAATCACCGATATACTGTACACATTTCATTTTACAATGCAATTAATAAGCAACAAACTAAGATAAAGTTTTTCTTGTTACCTCAAATCTTTAGAAGGTCAAAGGTTTAACCTCAATAACTAGCTTCCAAGCTTGATTTTCAAACTAAATATAGTGCACAAATGCTTAATCTACAATTAATAAATTCTAAATTCATTAACATTGTCAACAACACATTATTAACTCTCATTTTCTACTTCTAGAATATCCAATGCCTATATTTCTCACATTTAGGTCTACCCGTTGGATGCATTAACTTTCTTTAGCATTAAATAACTTCATTAAGCTCCTACATTACCATTAATGCCTCAACCATTCCCCATAGCTCACATTTAATGCTCTATTTTTAGACATTAATGTAGCTTACTAATCAAAAGCTTATAAAATCATCCATATAGGGTTCAAACAACTTAACTCACTCCCATTAACTCTATTTAAATTAATGAGTTTGGACCTATAACCTATATAAACTAAAAATCATCTCTTATTGTCAAATCCTAACTAAAAACCTCATAGAAATGGAAGAGAAAGGAAGATTAGAGTATAAAACACTTACCTTAAGTGTTTTCTAGCATCAAAATATTCCCAAACCTACAAAACCTTAAAAGAGCAAGAACAAGCTCCTTCATTTTCCTCTTCTTCCTCTTCTATTTTATGTCTCAATTTGCAATTAAAATTCTATAGAAAAAGGGCCATGCATCGCAATGCACACAGCACGAGCCGTGATGCATGGCATAAAGGGGTCTTTCTATCCCTTCATCGTCTATGCACTATGGTGATCGTATTGCACACCGCAATATATGGCACAGAGACACTTCCTTCATATTTTCTCCTTCTTTTTAATGCTCAAGTGGCTTGACTTTACTTCAAACTCATAATTAGAGCTGAAATCACGACTAACAACATTTATTAGACCTCCATAACCACATACCATACCAAATCATTCAATTACTATAATCAACTTGATTAATTTCTTAATAATCTAAGAATTACAATTTGAGATGTTACATTGTGCATATGCTATGCAGACTAAAATTAAGGCAAGTAAATAAGAATGAATAGGACAGAGGATGGTATGGTGCGATTGGAAAGAGTGAAACTATGATAATTCTAATTTTTATAGTTTTGTAAATAATATATTTAATATTAGAAAATAAATTTACTTGGACTAAGTCAATAATCTAAGCAAACAAAAGGAGTTTAAAGAAAACTAAGTGAGATATACCCAGAGTTAAAGACACACTGAGAGGAGTGGAAGGAAAGACAGTCATAAGATTATCTTATGCTGAATGAGTTTAGTGAAGCAGCAAGTATAAGGGTATGCACAAGAGCTAGTAGCCTTTTGTATTGATCCTAAGTGTACGACAAAGAAGCAGAAGAAGAAGAGGAATGAGCAGTTTCATCAGCAAGTATCAAGCCCATTTCATCACTACACAAATAGAGAGGATCAACTACTTTGATACTTTTTGTGTGTAGCTGAACTAACTATAGTTCATTTAGTTTTGCCTTTACAGTTGCCAGTTCTTGGCTCTTGGAGTAGTTAGATGTCAATAATACCTTCCTTGATAGTGATTTGGGTGAGGAAGTTTATATGGCTCTTCTTCTTAGTTTTAATTTTTCATCACCCAACACTATTTGTAAACTTTAAAAATTTCTTTATGATTTGAAGCAAGCTAACTACCAATAGTTTGCTAAGCTTACATCTACTCTTACTTCTTATGGTTATATCTAGTCTAAAGCTGATTATTCTTTATTTGTCAAGAAGACTAATTATTTATTTACAATGTTGTTGGTTTATGTTGATGATATTATCTTAGCTAATAATGATTATGTTGAAATTTTCAATATTAAAGTGATTAGTTTTTTAAAATAAAGGATCTGGGCTAGCTTTGCTATTTTCTTGATTTGAAAGTAGCCTAAACATCCTCTGGTATATCCGTCTGTCAATAGAAATTTTCTTTAGACATTCTTTTTAATTGTGATTGTCTTGCTTGTAAACCAACTTCTACTCTTATAGATAGATCTATTAAGCTTTTAGGTTCTCTTGTACTTGACCACTACTCGCCCTGACATTGCCTTCATTATCCAATAGTTATCTCAATTTATGTCTAATCTGCATGGTACTCATCTACAAACAACTTATTGTGTCCTTCATTATCTTATGTCCTCTCCAAATAAGGGCTTCTATTGATTCAGATCTCAAGCTAAAGGCTTTCTCTGACTCTAATTGGGCAAGTTGTGTTGACTCTTATTGCTCCATTACTGGCTTTTATATCTTTCTTAGTAAAGATTTCATTTCCTAACACTCAAAGAAACAATCCACTGTTTCTTGCTCTTTTTTTTAGGGTAAATATCAAGCTCTTAGTTTTATGACTTGTATATTACAATGGTTGTTATTTTTGTTACAAGAGCTTTATATTTCTTATCTTTCTTCTGCATTAGTTTTCTACGATAATCAATCTGCTCTTCATATTGCATCTAATCCTACTTTTCATAAACATACTAAGCATATTGAGCTAGATTTTCATCTTGATTGTAATAAGCTTTAAGCTGACAACCATCTATTTACTTTCTCTTTGCTTCAAGGATCAAATTGCTAACATCTACACCAAACAATTTGGCATTAGTCCCTTTAATGATATCCTATCCAAGTTGGGCATGTATGACATATATTCTCTAATTTATGTAAGGTAACATAGGAAAATATTAGATTTTTTATTATATATATTATTCTGTATAGTTATGATGGTTATAATTATTCTATTTTCTATTACTATTTTATTCTTTAATAGATATTGATAGATCTTTATTTTATTCTTTGATAGATCTTCATAGATTTATTCTCTTGTTTAAATATATCTCATATTAGAATTAATGAGAGAAGTTGCTATTTTTACAAATTGTATTAAAACTAATGGCTCATAAGTCATAATAATAAGTAAAAATAGCAATAAAGGACCTCTGAAGCAATTTAATTGCAAAAAAGGACCATATGATTTTGACTTCATTTAAAGAGCCAAAGGACTAAAATGCAATTAAGTTTGTCTGTGAAAAGACTAAATTAACCCTAATTTTTTTAAAAAAAGTCCCCTTCCCTAGTCTTACAAGCTTGCCACAGGAGATCCCCTCTCTCCCTGTCCCTCCCTTTCTCTCTTTCACAATTCGTCGAATAAGTTGGTTGAAAACGGTCTATATTTAGTATAGATAAAGGCATAATTATCTTTTCATATCCCATTAACAACAATTTATTAAGAAATCACAAATTGCTAGTTTTTGATATACATATATGATGGTCAATAGTTAAATAAATCATTAAACATCCATGGTTGTCCTTTATCAATGCAGAAGAATTATAGTAGTCGCTTCCTTTTGTAATGGGAGAACATGTAACTCATCCATAAATTAATTTAGTCAGGAAGCTTCACATAACAGCAAATGAAATAAGTAAAAGGAGGAAAAACATGTTGAAATCCTATAGTTAGAGTTGGTAATTCAGGCGTGTCGGGCTTATTCAGATTGAATTTAAAGTATTATACCTTTTAAAAAAGTTCATATAATCAAACTCAACCCTAACTTTTTTCTATCAGTTTTTATTTTGGCCAAAATTATCGACTATATATGCATATAGAGTCGATAATTCTAATAGTTGGACTTATTCAGATTAGGCTCAATTTGAGCCAGCTTAAAGTATCATATCTTTTTAAAAAAGCTCATATAGTCAAACCGTATCCTAACTTTTTTGAATGGGTTCAGGCTAGCCCTTCGAGACTTAGGCCAAATTATTAGCTCTACTCATTATTGTTTCAAAACATCATAGAAGACTAATAAAGAAATCATTGACAGAAAATATAAAAGAAGAGGATGAAGATGAAGATGAAGTTACAAACTAAAGGAAGGAAGATCCGTGAAGGAAAAGAGTGGGCATAATCAATCTAAGTGAAAGTAACCCATATCATGGTAGTGTGGAATGATCTACGAATCATAGGATGAACTAGTATGCGTTTCTTTCACCTGGATTAAAGATGACCAAAGGTCGATGACTAGCGCATTCAAACTAGCATGTCTTTGTCGCCCCACATCTCTCTCACAACCTCATGCCTATCTCTTTCAGACCACTAAATTTATAATGATAGACACATTCCACACCATTGCCTTCGACATACTTGAATGAATACCACTCGTCTTTGGCAAAATCATAAATTGATTTTTACAATTGTTGTAATGGCCTTGAAGTTAAAAGGTATGATTATAAAATCCACACTCTTATTTCGATTGGTGATGGTCTAGCGACCTGTTGTCAACAAGGGGTCTCCGTTAGCCAGCACAAGTACTAGGTGAGGAGATTAAAAAAAAAACACATATTGGGGATTTTTTTGTCTTTTCACAAACAAACTTAATTGCATTTTAGTCTTTTAATCATTAGTCCTTTAGAAGAATTCAAAATCATATGTTCCTTCTTCGTGATTAAGATGCTTCAGAGGTCCTTTAGTGTAATTTTTCCTTAATAATAAAAAAAAAAAGGTTGATTGAGAGGACGGATTATGAAATGAATCGGGAGAATCTATTTTATACCATTGCAATAAAGTGAAGAAATTCCCACGAATATCTCCGCGAAAAACAATTATTATGCACATCTCTCAGAATTTCCTGACCCCCCTTTTTTTTTTTGGGTTCTCCTTCGTTCTCCTCAAAGCCCCGTGGCCATTATCCCCGCCTATTCTACCCATTCATACCGACCAAAGTAGAATCTCTGCCCATCTGTAACTTTTTTCTTTTTTCTTTTTTCCCAAATATATCCACCAATACCAGGACAAAACCACCAGAAAAGCCCCAAAAATTAAAACGACAAAAGGAGAAACTTGAAGGTCCTCCTAGAAGCTCGTTGGCTGAGAAGAAGTTTCAGCATCATCATTGTCGTCGGTGCCGTTCAGGAAATGATTTAGCGGGCCGCAAAGACCGTCGGGCTTGTGGAGACCCCAGAAGCATCGTTTGCGAACGAGTCACCATGTCCACCATAGACGGTGTTTGGTATGCTTGCACGAGGCTGGTACTTTCGGTGGAATCACCTCTCGCCGTTGCCCTTTGCCATGAATGTGAACTCAATCCTGACAGAACATAGGCCCTTCCAGACTGCTCGTACACGCGTTGGTTCGCCATCCTCTCTTGCATCTCCTTCAATTCAGCAGAAAGAGCAACACATAGCCGGTCGCCAGCTCGAGCAGACACTGTCTCAGACAATGCCTTGTGACAGCCGTCTAGGATCGAAACTGCAGCAGCCAAATCACCGCGCTCAGCTGCAACTCTAGCACCGGCCATTGCCTCTGCAGCAAGAAGCCTGTTTCGTTGCCGGTCTACTTCTATTGAGATAGTTGCCTCTCCAGCTGTTTCAGGTCTCTGGATTTTTACTTCACTTCTGTCTCTCAAAGCCACCTTTTCTTTTGTGATTGGGTCTCTATAAAGACTTTTAACGACCAGCAATGACATCTCATCACTGGACCCATCAACCGGAATGTTGACTGTCACCAAAAAGTCTCTTTCTTCATCAGCATACAAATCTCCTACTTCGATAGAAGCCATTCTTGCATTTGCCATCATGCTGGTCCTGTAGCTTCCTGCTTTTACTGAGCTGAGTTGCAGTCGGGGATGAACACAGGCTATTTCTACCTGCAATTCCTGCACCAGCACACTCAAGAGTCCTCCAATACACTGTGCAAATGCATCCTGGATGACATCCTCAGCTTCAATGAAAGAAATGTACCCCCTGACACCTCAGAAATTGAGTGCATTGAAGTAGCATCGTGGTCAGCACCAAAGCCAAACGCATGCACGGGTATTTGCAAGCCAACCCCATTATTGCGATGAATGGAATTTGGGACGAGTGACTGGTAATCTGTTCCGGCATGGGGTCTGCTGCTTTTGACAGTGTATGTATCCTGCCCGTCAGATAGTAATATGATACTACCAACGGGGTTCTTCCATTGACGGTCAAGAAAAACCTTCAAACCTTTCCTCAAGCCCTCAGCAATATTTGTCCCGCCATTTGGTACCAAAGAATTAACAGCCTGCAATGCCTCCAGCCGTCCAGTATCAGTCATCCGCCGGAGAGGAAAGATGCGACGGGCAGTTGAGGAGAAGGCAACGACAGAAAGTCGGTCTGCCGGACCCAGATGCTGTATGACAAAACCCATGGCTCGTTTTAGCAACGCAAGCTTAGTGCCCGCCATGCTACCGCTTATATCAAGAACTGTGACAAGATCGATTGGAGCACGAGAATTTTGATCCGAAGGTGATGTTTTCGCATTGTTTTCACTACTATTTTGCCGTCGCCCTGAATGAGGAGCTTTGACATGGATTAATACAGCAAAATTATCGTGAGAAATTGACTTTGGAACAGCTGAAATTTCAGGATATGTTCTGATTTCCATCGCATCTAACGAATCATCCCGGTCTTTATAATGAGTAATTGAAGTTTGTTGATCCAAAGCATCATCATCATTAAAGATAGCAGGTTCAGGAACTTGATAAAGAGATGAACTCTGACGACCAGCACCAGCTTGTGGGGAGGGAAGCCGGCGGAAGACAGTTCGAGAAATTCCTTGAGGAAGATTAGAAGCAGGACCCTGAAAAGGAACTTCATTCCATTTTGCTCTGCAGACAGGACAGATACGGTTCCCGTGTTTTACATTAGATGTAATGCAATGGAAGTGGAAAGAGTGAGAACATTCTGCAGTAAAAATGGCGTGCCCCAGCCCTGGTTTCATGGCGGTCAGGCATATTGCGCATGTGCCCTGATGAGGAGAATGATTATAAAAGTGTGAGATGAAAAAGACCATAGACTAGCGTTACAAATTTGTCAACAAAATTTTTCGGACACATCAGACAAGACTCCACAAGTTGAATCCCTCCGATTAAGACGGTTAATATAGTCAAGTTTGGGGAATTCCTCAAGTTTAATATTGAATACCAAATTAACTGCAAACAGACTAGAAGCAACAATTATAAATCTGTAATTGGAACTTCAGTCCGAGTTACTGAAATAGAAAAATTCTCAAGATTTTAACTTGGCGGTCGGGGGACAATCTGAGCTGCTCACTATTATCCATCACTACTTACGCTAAGACCTGATCAAAATTGCCTTTATTTGAAGATTAAAATCACAATCTGGTGGAGCTCTTTAATAATGAGAGTGATAACATATAGAACAAAATTTAGGTAAGATGAAAGTTGCCAGATGCCTGTGGGACAAAAATAGTGAATGAAAAAAAGAAGGAAAGATATCTTGGTTCTTTAAATCCGCGAATCTGAGGTGCCTCAAGAAAGCGTTCATAAATAAATGAAAAATATACAAAGACTACAGCCCACTAATACAATATAGTGTCTAACACTGTCCCCTTCTGCCGTGATGCAGGTCCACTAATATGACCAGCGCATAAAAAGATGAAATAGAAAGCAACCCATCCTTCCCACTATCCTATCTAGATGGCTGATGACCAAAATCGAGGATTCCCAGGCAAATCTCCACTTAATAAAAGGTAAAAGGTCAACGTTAGGTGGTCAAACACTGAGGACATCAAGGCAAATTAAACAACAACGAGCAAACGACTTTCATATTAAAGCACTAAGACAAATTGAAACTCCAATATTGAAGCTTTCGAGACATTTGAAAAATGTCATCAAAAGAAGGGGAGACCAAAGAGACAAAGATGATTCATCGCTCCAGGATTTCTTTTCTTTAACATTTTTAATGGGGAAAATTTCAACTTTATCTTTGTTCGAATCCGGAATTTTCACAATCAACGGTTGAGGGGTCTTTGTGGGGATATAGCTTTATTAGCATGTAAAGGAGAGAGAAAGAGGACGTGATGCTAGACAAGTAAACAATACAGTAATGGGCTAAAGCCGAAGATGAACGGTCGAAATGTAAATCTTTTTCAGTTTTTCTAATAAGCCAAGTAACTCGTCCTCAAGGGCACTCGTCCCCCTTTTAAGGCCGCGGTTGAGTTGAAAATAACGTGAGGAATGATAATCATCGTTCCCGCAATGGTCAGATACGTCACAATCTGATAAGCCCAAAACGATGCCCCAACCGGAAAGCCAAAGCAAAAGCAGCAATAAACCAGTGAACAGACCTGATATCGATGTATTTTTCAACCATGTTCATTAAAATTCATTAGATGTGACACTGATGTCGAAAGTCTGAGTAATTTCGTGGCATCAAGGGAAAAAATTGAAAATAATGGAAGAGCCTCCATCCCCCCCTCCCTCCCAAAAGAAGAAGAATAAGAAGTCCAAAGGTGAGATCAGAATCTCCTATGGAGATTCAATAGCAGCTGAATCAGAAAAGACAACAAAAGAGAAAATCTGGATTCGTTTTATCAATACACGGAAGTGTGATCAGAAATGCTAACCTTGGGAGATTTGGCTCCGTTTCTGGGAAGTCGGAGACCGGAGGAAGACGGCGTTGGGGTCATTGGGCGGTAACCGGAGCTATGATCGGCCGGCGAAACACTGGAGCGGGAGTGAGCATCAGAAAGTCTGGCGGCGGAGCTGAGGGAAGAAGAGGAATCATCTAAAGCTCTTGGAACATAAACACACATATTCATACCAAGAGCAAGCTTCACCTTTCTCCACTTGCTTCCCATATTAGTCCCGGAGAGTAGACAATCAGATCTTTAAGCTGGAAAACTGGAATAGAGACGCAGGATAGAATTGAAAGAATCCGAACAAAGGAGAAGACATAGTACGGGTAGGGACGCGAAATGGAAGCAAAGAAGATTTGAGAAGAAACAAGAGGAGTAATAAAGGGGAAAAGAAAGGGAAGGAGGAGGAATAAATGGAGCAGAGAAACGGTTACACAATAAATGGGAATGGGTGGTGGAAAGAGAGGGAAGAGGGGGAAGGTGAGGTTGTTTTTTTTTTTTTTTTTTTTTGGGGGGGGGTGAAGGTGAGGTTGGTTTTGTTATGAAGCTTTCGCAAAATGCTGGAATGGACGGAGATGAGAGAGAAAGGAGTGGAGGGAAAGAGGTGAGAACAAAAGGGGCGCTTTTGCTGAGACGGAGCCAATATTGCTGCATCTTCCCAATTCAATAACCAAATTTGAAGGTTTCTTTCCCATTTTAATATTTAACCAACTTCCAAGTCGAAACTGCCCCTGCTTTATCGTCGGCCTGAATTGAATGACCATTCTTGTTTTGTCAAAGTTCTTATTTGCCCCTACCACTTCTAGTTCTGGCCTTTCTGGCCAAAGTTCTAGCACTTATGGGTCATATATATATTTTAATCCGAGGTGACGGAAAAGTAGTACAAATAATATTGCTACAACTTAAGAATGAATGGACCTACAAAAATTGTAATGTTTAAATTATCTTATGGGCAAGTCAATCTAACACATCTATCCACTTAGCATTTAGTGATATATAAATTTATCATTTAAAAGAGTCTTGCTTAACTTGATATAGATTAGTCTAAACTCTAATAAACCCTTAAATCAAAAATGGGATAGACTCTAAATATCTTGTTGATTCATGTAAAGTATATTAATATACGTGAAATAATATATATAGGTATATGTATAAAATTTTACCAAAAATAAATAAAAATATCAAGTCTACTGCATTTACACGTCAAAATAGGGGGAAATTCAAATCACCCATTTTCGTTGTCTTTGTCTTCATCCACATGCCAAAGGGGGATGAATTTTGGATTAGAGGCTGAATATGGTTTCTTGGATCTCCAGGTTCTACTTGGACAGGCTTGAATGACTCAAACTTTGTTTGGTAGGTTATTGAATGCATAATTTTATGAGGCTTCACAGGGTGTATTTTAATCTTATTGTTAAGACGAGATGAGATCGTATTCATCCATGTGATGAAGAGTGAAACGAGGGCATTCAGACTAGAGGCCGTATTCTTCCTTGTGGATTTCAGCCCTCATTTGCTCGTTTACTTGTCCTGGGTGCCCCCTTCATTCAACTACGCCATTCAAATATGAGATTTTTTTTTCCCCCCTTGTTTTTAATTATTCTCATTTTCCAGATTATTTCACCTTGTCGGAAGAGAGGGAGTGGGGAAAGGAGGAGGAACTTGCAATGCAGCATATGAAATTTTTATTACTTTAATTTAAAGTGTCGGTATATTATTGTTTTCAAATATCATGTAGATGAAATTTAATTTGTTGCTGCGTAAAATTTTTATTTGTCACCTTTGTACTCGCACCGATTATGTGTCTAGGTTTTTATTATGATAAAAATTATCATAAATATCAACATGTTTGCTGATTAAAAAACTGTATTACTACAAAATAGCAGTAGCATTCAAAAATCAAGTAGACGCGCGCAATGAAATATAAATGGTATATTTTCATACATTATCTTCTCAATATAAAAATCTGTTTCAATAGCATTCACTACATTAAAATTTTTTTTTTCCCTCAAAAACATGGCTGCTTATTGTTTATAAATCGTTGACCTTTCAGATTACGAAATTGTACTTGTATGAGATTAAAATATAGGTCCAGCTCTCGTCTTACGTAACTTCCATTTCTCTTCTTTGCTTCTCTGTCTTGTCGCGCAGAGAAGTGATCTGATCATTGTTTAGAAGACAGAATCGATGGAAAGATCATATCGTGATTGCTCGGAATTAGAGTGTGCGGATTCTGCTGGTTTGTCCCTATTAATTTTGTGCACATCACTCTCTAATTAATTGATTATTACAACCGTACTCCCTCTCTCTGATCCATAATGCAACACATTTTCTATTAATTATTGTTGGTTTGATTTTTTTTTTACCAGCGTTTGAATTTTAAAATATAGGATATTCTATAGTTTTTATTTTATTTTTTGTAGGTTTTATATACGTGTTAGTTAATATGAAATGAGTAATCATGCCTAGAAAATTGTAATTCTTGGTCGTGGATAAGAATAAAGTTGAAAGATAAGTAAATTTTTCATAAGATTTAAACACCTTTTTTATACGCGTGATGTATGTTAAAAATGTGTACATTATGTACAGAGTAAGTTATTCTTGGCCACCTCAATTCTTACCACCGTTGTAAAGCTTGTTTGAATTAACGTAGAATTATATTTTGCATACGCTACGATTTGCAAGTTAAAGTTAAAATTAAGAGAATATTAAAATTAAAATTAAAATTATAAAAATAAAAGAGTTAATGTGTTAATGAATATTAAAAATATTGTTAAATATTCATGTATTTAAATATTTTTAAATACTAAAAAACTTAATTAGATCTATTTAAAGAATAATATATATTATAAATAACAAAAATGTTAAATTTATAAATAATGAAAATATTAATTTTTTTAAAAGGACATGTGAAAGGATGAATAAGTTATTTAATAAATTTAAGATACATTTTGTTAACGGTTAGATTTCAACCTAAGTAATGTAAAACTTTAAAATCTAACCTTTGACCTAACTATAATTGAAAAAGAAAAGCTCATTTGCCAACTACTCTTATCCAATTTTTTTTTTTTTACTCCTAACTAACTTTTAAGCTTATCAATTACTCCTTCCATTTTTATATATAAAAAAATTTATATCATATAATTTAAAAAATCTAATTAATTATAATAATTATGTTTGAAAATAAAAAATTGAACTAAAATGTTTTATATAATTAACATAAGTATGCATTAATTATTTTTCATTTGAGGGATAAGTTAGAAAATATGTATTGAATGCTTATTGAAATAAATGATGTTGCTTATATAAAAAGTAATAGTTTTTCTTATAAATAAAAATAGAGGGAGTATAATTTACACCAACTAAATAGAATCCCAAACAAGCACATAATCTTCTTTAGTTTTTTCAGTTGCTAAACAAATTAAAAGCATTACAAGTTATACAGCTTGAAAAATCATAGACGTAAAAAACTCTTAAATTTTCATATGCTTCTATGACAATATGATAATGATGGGATCAACACTACGTCAATTCATTAAGTGACCGAAATTAAGTTGTCTCATCAACAAAAACTAGTTTAATTGATAACGATTTGGCTCATAATTTATAAAACTATTTTTTACTGTTGATATAAAAATATTGTTGGTGGGTGACTTATAAGTATCTCTATAAGTGTTTTTTGAGTTTAGAAATATACATTGATTCCTAATAAGTCCCTGTTTAAAAACAAGCCAATAGCATAACATGATTAAAATTCTAAATTCTAAATTCAAATCATCAATGAAGGAAGAAATGGCATGATTGAAAACAATGTAAATAATCCATCTGTTTTAAAATATATGTCATTTAAGGCTTCTATTAAAGCATACATAGATTAGGAAATGCAATTAATACAATAAAATATTGACTACAATGGAAAATTTATTTTGAAATTATTAGAATAGATAAGGATATATCACTAAAAAAAATAAACTTCTCGTAAAAAAAAAAAAAACATGCAAGGGAGTACCGTGACCTGTTCAAAGTAAGAATAGTAAAGGGAGCACTGTATATTGGTCTCCAATTTGGTCTAAAGAAAAGCTGGCGGCTTATGTTTAGCATCGGGAATAAATAGTATTACGCACAGTTTTGTTTTTCATTTGCATTTTATAGTAATTTACAATGGCGTATAAACTACTACTACATCTACTATTCAGCGTGCTTACGTGCAGTGCTCCTTCCTATTTTTTCTATTGGCGTACTTGAAGACTGCTTTGTCCCTTTTCACCACTTAATTTCATTTTTAAAAAAAGGCGGGAGATTCATCCAAATCTTGTATTGTATGGTATACTCTTTTCCTTTTCGGTTCTATATTTTTAGAACAATTAATAGTCTATTTTATAAGTAACTTTTACTCTTTCATATTTTTTTATAAGAAGATAGAGTAATAGATAAAATATTCTTAAAAATAATACTTTTAATAAAGATAAATTACAAATTTTCTTTTCAATTAAATAGCAAGGTAAAATTAGAAATAGCAGGATATTGGTCAAGTGGAGCTTTCTCTGATTGGCAGGAAACGTCTTGGACTCAAAAAGGTGCCAATAATAAGAAAGAGAAACCGACGAGGAGAGATTCGAGTTCCACTAATCAAATTTAATTAGGTAACTACATGCACGATATCAAACAGGCCCAATGCAACTGCCAGAACATGTACCCCAAGTTGTTGTTGACATTGAATGCCATCTTAAACAAAACAAGACCATCCAAGTGGGCCCTCAACTCTGCTGGCTTTTGGGTAAAGATAAAAAGGAAAAGCGCTTTTGACGTAACAAAAGCAGGGCTATTTTGTTAATACATGCTGCTGTATTAGAGACTCTAGTTTAATCTAAGCGGATATGATGCAACATTGTCATGTTGATTACTCTCATTCATCATCTATAATCTATATATACCGTTGAAGTCAGCCAGCAGAATTATACCCTTCATGTTCCATTGAGAGAAAAATAAACAAGAACCTCTTAACCCTGTTGGTTCATTTCTTTCTTTCTTTGTTTTTTTTTTTTTTCCTCATCGCCAACTACAAATCGCAACCTTCATTCTCATTAATGAGAGAAAGAAGCGATCACATGCTTTTGTAGGGATTTTTCTAATTTCTTCATGAAAGCCATATGTTCCCAACCAATCAACTGAGGGCCGCAAGAGGCCATTCAAGGAACATACCGTGTTTGGTCATCAAACAAATAAGGTCATGATGGCAAACATGGACGAGTTTTCTTCTTTCTTTCTTCACTTAATTTGACATAGTGGCTGCTCAATGTCTCTGGACCACCCTTTGTCTTTGTTGTCAGTAGTCACCGACCAGTGCTCCATTCGGCTGTAATCCAACTATATGTGTGTGCCTTAGGCCAAGGTAACTCACCAAGTGGGTTTGATTAGGACCCAAACCAAACAGCTTCAGAATCCCAACAAAATTTACGAGGGGTTCCTTGGGGGAAAAAACAGAGACTTGGATTACAGATGTTCCAAACTTTTAAATATGAAGCAAGAGCCTGATAGGATATACATGAGATTGGCCGTTGAGATAAGTGAGACGTGTCAAGGAAAAGAAGATAAATCTCTCTTGCTCAAAACATTATCCTATAATTTTTTTTTACGTCGGCTCATCATTATTAGTTAGCTGAAAACTGTGTTAAGATAAAATAAATTTAAAAATCTTGCTCTAAAACAAACAAGCTGGTGTTTGCAGGCTCAAGCAAATTGTTTATAACTAAGTGAAGCGTTACATCAGATGGAAAAGGACAAATGTTGGATAAGGCAGTAAGCAATTTGCAGGGTTATTCTGCGCCTTTAGTCACATATGATACGTTATAATAAAGATGTTTAGCGAACAAGTGCCATTTAGAGACATGATTAGGGGGTGAAAAACAAACACTGCTTCGAGCCTTTTTCTGTTGACTTGCCCAAAAGAGTCTTGCAGACTTAGGGGTGGGAGAACGAGAATTAACCCCAAAAGAATCTGGGGATTCTTTACCAATGATACAGGCAATGGCACTCCATGTCCATCCCCACCAAAAGAAAGAAAGCGAAACTAGGGCATTTGATTGCCAAGTATTGATGGTCTCAAAAGCAGTTAAAAATGGAAACGGAAGCACTGCCTTCGGGTCTCTTTGTTCATGTTATCTCGTGGAGAAGAATAACTTTGCTTCCAGTGATAGAGCCTCTTTTTTACGAGGGGCCCTCTAAGGTGGAAGCAATAAGTGGGAAGTTTGGACAATATTGTGACTTGTCTTTTCTAGTGTGATTGTGTCAGAGTATGCAGTTTGTTTGTGGGTGGCTCATCTTTTCCCCTTTGATCTCTGCCAAGTTGGGTTGTTCAATTTCCTTTTGGCCTTAGCTGTGCCTCTAATTTGAAGGTGCATTTTCAACTCTAAATCCTAATGTTTCTCCAGTTCAATGGATCTCAAAAGACATGGCCGGTTTGAATTTTTGAGGAAGACGCACCAATCTCTTTATTCATGTGGTTTATGGGCGGCATGCTGAAGAATGCAAGCTGGAAAAGGGAAGGTAGGAATAAGCCGGCTCGCCAAAATTGAATTTATTTCTAAAATGAAAAGGCCAAGTTTGAATGAAAATGATATGAACGTGAGTGTGGTGGATGTCAACTTCCATAGATTGATATGTTATGTAATGGTATTTTTCAGTAAGTTGTTACTATCATGTACAAAAATTTTAAATCCTTCTAAGGACCTAAATCTGGAAAAAGCAACTTATAATTGGCCATACAAATAATGTCCAACATGCCATAGAGATTAACCCTAACCTTTATTGATAGTCACAGTAAATAAAAGTGTTATAAGGAACTATCTTTTTTGTAATCAAAACGGCATTTTCATTTGCATTCTGTATATAAGAATCTTTTCATTTGGTTTTGATTAATTTAATGTGATCACTTCAATCACACCCTGAACGAGTCTAGTTATTCGTAGTCTAGCATCATTGGAAGACTCAGGTTAGTTGTATGCATTGTTTGAATGTTGGATTGAAGGCCTGGTGTTACAGAAAATGATATAATAAAAACATAACGCATGTTATTTGAGGTAGGTGCAACATATATCGGTGTAGGAAATGATAAGAAATTGAATCCAGAGTACTTCTAGCATGCATGATTACCTTCGATACTCTGGCTGTTCTTGTTAGATCTTCCAGAATATTATCCGATCGAGTATTTTTTTTTTTTCTTTTTGTTGTAGGTGATGGAAAACCATGGGAATTAACGTGAGGCGTTCTTTCTCTGAGATCTAACATTGAAGTTGCTGAGATGAACTGAGAAAAGGATATTATGTTCAACATACTTGTAGAAGAGGAGAGGTGCAGTTTTCAAGAATCCATATGGCCAAACTTTCAAAGTGGGACATATCAGTATAACATACTGGGATGTCTTGGCCCAAAAATCAATGAAGATATTATTGTGAGCGGCCCATTTTGATGAGTAAAAGAACAAACTATTAACTCATTAAGATATTACTGAGGTGTAGTTTCTTTATTATGCAGTACTTATTTGTTATTATCATATTATTTGACAGAGGTGGAATCTATAAATCGTTTTTAGTTATTTTTAAAGTGATGTCTATGATGACTAATATGTAACTAACAAATTTTAAAGACGCAATTAAAGTACGATCAGCAAAGGTCCTATGGACCTTGCTGGGCCGGTTCGATTGAGTTAAGTTTAGATGATTTTTAGTAATCGCAATTTATCAAGCTTGAATAATTTCCGTTTTCTTGCAATTACCCATTTCTCACCCTGGAAAAGGAACACATTCCCACGCTTAGAAGAATATTTGTGGCGTTCTAGGGTTTTACTTTCACCTTACCTACCTTGAAAATTTTCCAGTCCCGCGGGCGGCGATGATAAGCCTCTAAAACAGTTACTTCACACTGATCACATTAAGTCTAAATATCGAAAGTACCATAGTAGATAATGCTCAAGGATGTGGTAGGCCAGATAATTTCAACCATGACATGCAATTGCATATGTTATCCACCGTGGCGATGATTGGAACTAGAGCTCGACCGAAAAGAGACACTAATATCAAACTAAGTGAGCCTGCATGCGATCATCATAACAAGTGTAGAGGTAGGTTCCATAAAGCCACACCTTTACACGTGGGGCCAAACATTTGGCAAATTGATACCAAATTGATTGGCAGCATTCATAAGACTATTCATGCCATAAAAGTTGAAAGGCCACTGCCCTCTATTACGAGGATCTCCCTGATAGGATGGTGGTGTTGGTGGGTTGAAAGGCGAGGAAATGAGAGAGACGTTGCAGGGATGTTACTAGGAACTAGTCTGTCGGACATCCCACGCAGAGGGGTACGATGTCTTGTGGTTGGCATAGTATTAGAAGTTAATGATCCATACAGCTGGGGGTAGTGTGCAAAGGCATGGATGTTACCAACAGCCTGAAGTGGTCTTGCAGAAACATTGGAGAAATTTCCTGCCGTTCCATATGAAGGTTGAATAGGAGTCGCCACAAGCTGAGATCCAGCCATGGCAAAGCCACTTGGCAGATTGGTTGCAGAAGGCATCCATGACGATGGACCGACAACTAGGGAGGACCTGACAGCACTTTGTTCTCCATGAAGTTGAACAAACTGTTGAGCGGAATTTGCATCTGACATTAACCAAGTTGTTAGGAAATGATAAAAAAAAAAAAAACGTAATGCAAGCATTAAAAAATGATGGACAAGAAACATATTTAGTGACATGTATACTTGATCGTTATTAAGGGGAAAAAAGTGCAATTAACATACCTTTTGGCATTCGTTTTGCGCCTATTGATTGAGGGCCACGACATTTTGACCAGATAGCCTCTGCCAATTTTATGTTGGCAAGAGCTTTGTTGATATTTGCATCCAAGTTCTTCTTCTTCTGCTGATACTCGACCTCAATCTCCTGAAGTTTAATATTATATCCTAACAATTTCTTTCAATTCCTTTTCGTGATCAGATTTCAACTGCAATTTCTGCTTCCATAAGAAAGATAGGTTAAAACTAAAGAACAAAATTAAAGAACAGGGAAATTTTAAGTAAGTCAGAAACTAACCACATTTTCATGGTCTTTAACAGCTTGACATGTTTCTTTACGTATTTTTTCCATTTCAATTTTAAGTGGATCAACGTATAATGGTGGAGGCATCCTAGAAGCAGATAGGGTTGCAGTTTGTATAGGTTGGCTACGGATCTCAGAAGGAGTGGACCTATTTATAGTGTTTGACAAATGAGTTCTGCCTCCAGTAGGTGTCATTGAATCAAGTTGCATAACAACTTGATGTTGAACCTCATTTATTACCTGAGGAACCTGGCTGGAGACAGTACCTTCATTGATTCGTTGGTCTTCAGTTGTAGGGGCTAAAGGTAAATTAGCTAGACGGAAGTTGGAAGAAGGCAACTCTACAGAGACTAATTTCTGTGAATGCTCCAGAGGCTCCATGACCAGTGTCTCCCTATTAGCTCGAGCATGTGGTGTACAATCAACTGGACAGCATGCTGATCCAATTTGTTGAGAAGAGTTCGGTAATTCCGGGTGCTCTACAGATAACAATCCCTTCACCAGATCTTGATTGGGTGTTACTTGCCCACCTTGTTGGGAAGGATTATGCATTTCTTCAACCATGTCCTGGTTGAAAGAAGGGGGCTCTAAAGTTGGTAATTGCTGCTCCTGCATCAGAGGCTCCATGACTAGTGATTCACGATTTGATTGATTAGGCAGTACAAAATGAACAGGGTTAGATGGCGGCTCAACTTCTTGGGAAAAGTTCTGTACTTCAACTGGACAACATACTGATCCAATTTGCTGAGAAGAGTTCCGTAATTCTTCAACAACTGTAATTTTATTGAAAGAAGGGTGCTCCACAGATAGTAATCCCTTCACCAGATCTTGATTGGCCATTACTTGCCCATCTTGTGGGGAAGGATTATGCATTTCTTCAGCTATGTCCTGGTTGGAAGAAGGGACCTCTGAAGTTGGTAATTTCTGCTCTTGTATCAAAGGCTCCATGACTAGTGATTCAAGATTTGATTGATAAGGCAGTACAGCATCAACATGGTTAGATGGCAGCTCAGCTTCTTGGGGAAAGTTACGCACTTCTTCAGCCAGATCCCGGTTGGACACAGAATGTAACATCTGTACTGGCTCCAGAGAATTCATGAGCAGTGAATCAGGGTTAGGTTGAGTAACCAGTACGGAACTAAAAGAAGTAGACACTAACTCAACCTGTTGGGAAGCATTTTTCATTTTTTCATTAGCATCCTGATAGCTAAAAGGGAACTTTGCAGGTGGTAATTGATGCACTTGCACTGTAGTCTCTATAACTAGTGACTCAGGATCAGATTGAATAGCTACGTCATTAACTGGACTAGATAATTGCTCTGCTTGCTGTGAAGAGTTCTGCACTTCTCCAACCCTAACATCTTCATCAGAAAATTTATTGGATGTAAATAGAGATGCACATAAATCCCGTGGCACCTGATAAGTATAACATAAAAGCAAAGGTTATGCAAAATGAACCTAATATTATTGGGGGGAAAAAATTAAGAACCATTTAGTTAGATATATCTTCTAGTAGATAGAAGTGTTCACATTAAAGGAGCAGCCTCCTTGTGTTTAAAATGACAACTTAATTCCTAGCAATTGCTATAAAGACCCCAGTGGCCTTGCACCATGTCAACGGTATTCAGTGGGGGAACGCAGCAGGAATATCCCACAAAGTTGAAGGAAAAATAGAATACCAAAGAGAATATTCTACGCATAACTATGTTGATAGTAGAAAATTGTTTATAATGTACCCAGCATGATGTAGCTCACCTGGTAACTAGCACCTACTCACGCATTATTGCAAGGGTAACATTTTAACTTTACTAGCAGAGAGACACAAGTATAGTTGAAGCATGCAAAGATTGATAATTAATTTAGATTATATGGATTGCCAGAGTTAAAAATTGATTTGCACCTCATTCACAGCAACCACGGGGGATAAGATCATAAAAGGCTGCTCTGAATGTGACCATGATACTGGAATCTCCTGGGACACGGAGTCTTCATTGATGGTTCTAGAAATTCCTTCCTGTTGATCTGATAAAGCAATTTTATTCAACATTATGGCCTCTGTTTTGTTCTCCTGGTCATTATAACATTCATTCACTCCATGACTATTTTCTAATACTCCAGCTGGAATTTCTCCATGAGTTTGTTCCTCTGATGAGAGTGAATGAGTATTGTAAATAATATCAGAACCATGGTCTAGGCTAGCAGTTCCAAATGGACTTAGAGATAATTCTCCATCTAAAACATTTGAGGCATCTTCCTCAAATCTTTGTTTTATGGATGAAGGAGGCTTTGGAGTGATAGCATTTTTCAGATAATCAGTCAAAAAGGCAGTCCCAATTGTTTCAACAGGTACTTCTCTTTCTAGTAAAGTTCTTATGGCCCCATCAGCTGTTCTATCTTCAGAAAAGGGCAAGCTAAAAGTGGCAAGTCTATCTAAACCACTACTTTCATCAGCCTCATGGGTCTGTGCATCATTATCATAATTCGGAATGCATACAGCAGTTGCACTTGGTAAAGGATCTGGAGATAATTGTGAATTTAAGGAGGCATCCATACCATCACTAGAACCACTGGGCTTGCTTCCTAATGAAAAATCACAATCAGGATTACTCAACATAGTCCGACAAAGATCCCCCTTCCTGCTAGAAGAAACTTCATCCCAGGCATCATTTAACTTGTCAGTATTATGCACTTCAACAGCCACCTCTCGGATGGAAGTGTCGCACCCGGAAAAATGCAACGCGGACGGCGCGTGAGTGGAGGTCTCGGTCTTCATGGTGGGAACCGCACAGAACGAGAAGTCGCTACCAAGATTTTGAGATAAATCTTGGGAAACTGATTAATGGAGGATAAGGGTGATCTGCAAAAATCAGATAATAGGTTCGAAAGTCGGTTGAGTGTGAGGAAGGTGTTAGGCACCCCACAACACCCGTTCATCAGAACAGTTACCTAAAGTTTGTTGTGCTCTATTAATATGGTTTTATAATTATTTTAATTATCCCTTTTATATTTATGTGTTTGATGAAAATGATAAGAATTAGGTGAGAAATATTTATTTATTTACGAGGGAGGACGGACTTGACTCAGAATCTGACTCTGAGACCTACGTACCCTGTGATGGGGATCAAAGTCCACGTAGTTCTGGTTTAAAAGTTTGTTGGTGAAAATATTTTTGAAGAGAAATTAATTAGAAATAACTCACCATTTTGCAAATAAAACAATTTCTGAAATTTTAATATGTTATTTTAAATTGCAAGAAGTAATTTGATTTTAATTATTTTCTCAATTTTTGGATTTCAAATTAAAGAAAAGAAAATGGTTTAAAATTATTATTATTTTTTTATATTTTATGATTGAGGATTTAATTGCAGTACCTGCAAAACCTTATTGGTTCAACTCTAAATATCTACGGAGATTCTGAAATCTCACACGATAAAAGAGTTTGGCCATTTAATTAATTTATTTATATTATTATGTATATTTTTAAGTGTTAATAATAATTTTAAGTGTGTATATATATGTTTCAAAGAAACTTAATCATCATACCTGCAAAGCCTTATTAGCTTGTATGGTAATATGATTATCCCTAATATCTGTGGAGATTCCAAAATCTCACACGATAAAGGAATTAAATTTAATTAATTGATTTAATTAATTATATAATATATATATATATGTGTGTGTGTGTATGTATATATATATTTTAAAAACTAAATCGTTATATCTGCAGAGTCTTATTGACTCATACGATAATACGATGATCTTAGAAGCCTATAGAGATTCAAAAATCTCACATGACTAAAAAATATAATCGATAAATATGGTTACAATTTAAATACATTAATTTAGTTAATTAAGTTTCTTAAATTGTATATTATATGATTATTTATAAAAATCACTTATTTACTATAGAGATTGAGAATCACTACATCTGTGATGACTTATTATCCCCACGATGATGTGATTAATTTAAGCCTTTACAAAGATTCTTGAAATCTCACATGAGATTTAAATAAATTATTAATTTAGATTATAAAAGGAGAGTTAATTTTAATATATAAGTTTTGCTCTCACATCTGCAAAATCTTATTGATTTACACGACAGGGGATTATCCTGAATATCTGTAGAGATTCAAAGTCTCACACGATAAAAAAATTAAATAATATTCACTTTGAATATATTTTAATGTGTAATTATATAACACATATTTTTTAATATAGAAATCTTAATCGTTATACCTGCGAAGCCTTATTGACTCACGCGGTAGTACGATTATCTTAAAGGTCTACGGAGTTTTCAAAAATCTCACATGACCAAAAGATATGATTAGACAATATAATTATAATTCAAATTTATTAATTTAATTAATTAAAATTATAAAAACATTTATTATTTTATTTATAAAATTTATTTATTTATTTACCATATAAATTGTGAATCACGATGTCTACGAGGATTTATTATTCTACACTATAATGTAATTAATTTAAGCCTCTACGAAGATTCTTGAAATCTCACATGAGACTTAAATAAATAGTATAAAGAGAAAATTAATTTTAATAATGGGCTTTTGGAACCTATATAAATACTACAAAATTGATCTTCATACCTGTAAAATTTTATTGATTTACACGGTATGAAATCATTCTAAATGCCTACGGAGATTCTTAAAATCTCACACGACAAATAGATAATCAAAATATTTGCATTAATAGTTGGTGCATAATATGAGTTTAGCATTCGAAGAAATAGAGAAAAAAACTATTTTGACACTTCACTCCTCTTTTGACTTGAAGATATGTTCCTCAAGATTTTTAAATTGGTTTAATGCTCAGATATGACTTTCGAAGGAAAATGATGAGAGTAGTGGTAATAGCATCCAACAATTAAAATTAAGAAGTTCCACATACCATCACCACCATTACTTACCTAATTTATTTCTCATAAAAATTAAAATAAAGTTGATGTCTTAAAATTATTTGTGAATAAACAATAATCCCATATTAGACATATGCATACTCTTTATTTTTTTTTCAAAATAATATGATCAATTGAATGCATGAAACAGGCATATGAAATTTTAAAAGAAGAACAAAATTTTAAACAAGAAAGAGCATACTCAAGATGGCCTTGGATCCCCATTATGTGATCATTGAGTCTAAACATTTCAATCCCTGTCCTCCCTAACCATGCAATAATCTCTGCCTTCGCCGGAAGTTCTCTTACCTCATCTCGATGGCATTAGATTATGGAGAGCTTTGATGGCAGCATGATAGACGTCGGAGACAATGGCGATGATGATGTCAAGGTTGTGCTTCTCATACCAATGTCCCAACCAATGTGAGATCGCCTAACCTTCCCTCCCAATGCACAACATAGCATCTGGTAACCGAAACAAATGCTGAGGATTTCCTTCTTCATGGAATTGAGTTGAATAAGAGTGATGAGGCCATGGCTCCAAGAGTCATTTCTGTGAGTGTCGTTGCAACTGTTAGTGAAGATGAATCCATTATATAGGTTGAGATCACCATATTCCTTGGTATTTCTTCCTCACATACTCGGAATCCTCTGCGTACAGCAACATTGCATGCCTTCTTTCTCTCTCCCTCGATTCCAGTCTCTGTTTAGACATCCTCCAGCTTCTGGTCTCTCTCTCTCATTTTTCTTTCTTTCTCCGTGCTCTCTCTCTCAGACTCTCAGACGTCTCAGTTTTTCTACATTTTTTGTCCCTGTTTCTTCCTTCTCAGTCTCTGATTTTTCCAAAAAAAATGCTCATCTCTCTCGGTCTCTTGCTCTATTTTTTGTTCTTTTTTTTTGTCTGGTTTTCTCTCTTCTCTTCCTGTTTCTCATGTCTCTTGCTTTGTTCTCTCTTTTATGCTCTCTTTTCCAGTCCCTTCAGTCATAGCTCCCTCTTCCCTCTTTGTTCTCCTTTTTCTCCTCCTTTCTGCTCCTTCTCTTCCGTTTTCGTGCATTTCATTCGTGCTTTGTTTTTGGCCTTTTCTGTGCATGCGTGTGCTTGCTTTCTGCGTTGGTCTTTCGTGTTTCCGCTGCTATGCTTCTTCTTTTTTTTCTTCTTTTCAGCTGCATTTTCTGCGTGTGCCATGCTTTCTGTTTCCTTTTCCATTTACTGTTTGCTTTTCGTTGTTCCCGCATGTTTCTGTTTCTACTTCTTCTGTGTGTATGTCCAGTTTTTTTGCATGCTCTCTGTTCTCTTTTTTGTTGTGTGTTTCATGCGTTCTCCTCTGTGCTGTGGCTCTGGTTTTGTGTGTTCACTGTGCATGCAAGTTTGATCTTGTTTTTTTTCTTTCTGGCATTTTGTGACTATGTGTGCTTGCTCTGCGAAGCTTTTACGCCTGGCCAAAAGTTGTTTTCAATCTACTCTCTTTATACGTGCATGACCAACGTTTTTTGCCATTCTTTTTAATGCTTCTTTTTTTTAAAATTAGATTAAAGGAGAGAAAGGAAAATTTAATTTTAATATATATATATATATATATATTTAAATGGAGAACAAAAAGATTTAAGGAGAGAAATTTAAAAATACTTAAGTCTCAAAAAAATTGATTTCCAATATTTTTGAATGGTTGGATAATTTAGGAGAGATTTTAAAAGACTTAAACAAGATTTTGTTTGATTTTGTTAAAATTATTTATTTTTAAATATAATCCTAAGAAAGGATTAAATTTCATTTTGTATTTTTATATTTCTTGGTTATTTATTATTAAATTTAAAAAAATGTCCGGACAAAATATGGTGTTCACAAGAAGCATTCAAAGTTTTCCCATCACATATCTTTCCTTCAGATGAAGGTAGAACTGAACTGACTATGTCATCCCTACAAGAATAACTAGAATTATTTTGGCCATCATCTTTATATGCCCCATCAGTAGCTCTATTAGAATCATGTTCTTTGGAATAAGAAAGCATAGACACAATATGCCCTTGATTTTCACACGCACTTTCAGCTTTACTATGGCCATTGTTTCTAGATATCAATCCCCTATATGAAGCTGCAATGGGACCTTCATCAACATGATCAGATACAATGCCAACATTCTTTGAACCATCATGAGGCTGAGCATGGTCACTGGTCTTTGAGTATTTCAACCCAGACCCAAATTCCTTTAAAAGAAATGTTTTCAACCTATCTTTAGCCCAATAACTCACTTCTTCTATCCAAGCAGCCTGCCAATGTTGGAATTTCTGCCTTGCTTCCAGTCGTACAGCTTCAAGATCCTTGAGAAGTATTTCATGTTGGTATTCCAAATCTTCAATTGTTTTAGCAAATTCTTTATCCAAAATCTTAAGTTTTTCTGATCTCATCACATCATTAGAAAAACAACAACGAATAACAGTAGACTCTATTTCATATTTTTCCCTAAATACAGCCTTTTTCTCCTCATTGACTGCATTCAACTTATTCTTTTCTTCGTCAAGCTTGAGAAGGAGCTTCCTTAGCTACTTCTGGCACTTCTTCTGAATTTCTTTAATACTTTTGGAAATATCTTTCACAGCCAATTCAACCTCTGGTGCCTCTCCTATAAAGGAATAAACCTTGTTTGGTGATTTAGAAGGTTCAGAAAAGCCAATGGCATTGGAATTTCCAGCGTGACATAAAAATATTTTCTTCAGACATCGCAACATCAAATACATATAGTCAGCCTCTTCCTTTCTACAATCAAATTTTAAATGCTCTCTTACAAGCATTAAGGTAACTTTGTGGTCAATCTTGTGCTTTAGCAAAGAAGCTGCAGTCCAACACTGAAATTTGGATGGCTGATTAATAGCTAATTACTTTGTAAAAAAAATGCGACATTAGTATCAGTGTTAAATTATTTGTATAGATGAAGTGGAGAACACATTGCAAAAAAATGCACCTGCCCCCCCACACAGTCTCAGTACTGACAGCAAAAAAGTTTCAGTTGAAAAAGAATAGTAATGCAGCATGAAAGAATTTTGTTTATTAGAATACTTTATCTTGTGATGGTAATTAGTAATGTTGGAGTAGCTTTGGGTTATCTACGAGTAACTTTGGATTTTGAAAAAAGGTATCTGTGGGATGTTAGACATCCTTTTTCGTGACTGCAACATAAGGAACAAACTTCAATTTCACAACCCAGATCAAGCCCAAAAGAGAAGGCCTAACTCTTACTTAGCATACAGCACATAAGATAGTCTGATGAAAACTGATATATGCTGGCATTTGAAAAGTCGACAGTCATTAGAAGAGTCTTAAGTTTAAAAAAAATGAACAATCAACTTGAATAATTTAAGAAAAATCCTCATAAGCAAAAGCTTCATTACAATTTGCTTGCGTGAATTAAAAAATACAACAAAATATCCTCTATTGGAGCTGGGAAAAAACAAAGATTTTTACTATCTAGTTCATTTGGTAACAGTTAATCACTAAGGAGCACATGACCCCTTAGTTTTGTAATATTTCCCTCCTTCTCCGGAGTACACTTATGATAAAAGAGCCAATCTCTAATTCACCAAATCCTTAGTTTCCATAAGCTTTAATGTATTCTCAACCACATTGGACTCTAAAATTTAAAGGGGGAAAAACAACAGAATCTTAGAGAAGGTAGGGGGACCAGGGTTGCATCTCATGCTCTCGTGGTTTCTTGACATTAAATAAGTATGAGAGCTAATATTTAAAATTTTTTTTTGTTCAGACAAGGTGTTTTATTATATTTAGTTATATACTGAATTTGTAATTTAATCTTAATTTGGGGGTAAAATATATCTTCTCTCATAATTTAGTTAAAGTAATAGACATCCAAAGCAATTTTACCAGAAGAGAAGGCTGAGATCATAAATCATGAATGACATGAATAATGAAAACACTAGATTAATGTTTACTAAATGAAACGGAAAGAGCAGAAACGAGCTGAAACGGAAGGCACACACATAATGAAGCAGAAACGGGAGACACACATAATGGAGCATAATAAACTTTTTGTAACCTCCCCTTAATTTCTGTAACCCCCCTTTAAATTTGTATGGTTCAGTTTCACGAATTCTAAGACTATAAATAGGACCCTTGTGGTTGTGAAAGAGGCAGACTTGAAAGAATAAGAATTGTTTGTTTTCATCTGGTTTCTGTGCCATTTTGGTATCAGAGCAAGGTCCAGAGAGCAAGAGAGTGAGTTACAGTTGAGAAAGTACGCCGGAGAGGAGAGAGATTCAGTGGAGGAGTCCCTGACGTCTTCTTGTTTTGAAATCCAGGCCTTTTCTCAAAAAACTAACGTCACCATCGCACTCAGGAGGTCCGAAAACGTGGAACAGGAGGTTCCCCATCGCCGAAAAATTCTTCACGCACCTACATGCACCTTCGCCGGAACAACACGCGCCGACGCCGTCTTCACACGCGCCGCACGCGCCATTCCAAGGTAGATGACGCTGACGTCATCCGCCACATTATCTGTCTGACCGGTCAAATGCTAGGTAATCCAATCATTATTTGTCACATGTCACATTCATCCACGTCACTACACCCAGTCAGCCAATTTTTCATAAATTACATTTTTGCCCCAAATCTTTCAGTAATTCCATAGTTCCCCCTAATTTTTACGAAATTTCATATTGACCCCCAAATTTTCAGAAATTCCATTTTAAACCCTAAACTTTCTTAAAATTACACTTTTGCCCCTTGGTTTTACCTGAATTCCATTTTAACCCCTATATTTTTCATAAATTTTAATTTGACCCCATAATTCTTCCAGAATTTTTTTTACCCCCTAAACTGTCCAAAATTCCCATTTTGACCCTAACCTTTCAAAAAAAATCTTACTTACCCCTATATCCTTTAAAGTTTCCATCTGCACCCCAATCTTTCCCATATCCCTAGCCTTGATACTTAACCAAAATGCCTCCAAGACATAGACATGTGCACGAGGTTGAGATGGAAGAGATGAGACGTAGGATACGAGAATTGGAAGCCACTGTGGAATTGCAGCAAACTCTGTTAAACAACAACAGAGAAAACTTAGAGAGAGATTCGGAAAGCAGTAGTTTGTCATCTACCGACAACCGCCGCCGCCCACAACAACAACAATTTCGCCCTAATGACATCAAGGTTGACATTCTTGAATTTGAGGGAAGGCTCCAGCCAGACGAGTTTGTAGATTGGCTGCAAACTGTTGAACGAGTATTTGAATACAAGGAGATTTCAGATGTGCAGAAAGTCAAGATTGTTGCCCTCAAACTCAAGAAACATGCTTCTATTTGGTGGGAAAACCTCAGACGGAAGCAGGAACGTGAGGGAAAGCACAAGATTGAGACCTGGGAGAAAATGAAATGCCAGCTCACTAGGAAATTTCTACCAGATCATTACCACCAAGATAATTTTATCCACTGCAAAATCTTCGACAGAGATCTTTATCTATAGAAGAATATACTAGGGAGTTTGAACAACTCATGATGAAGTGTGACATTAAGAGAAGGAGGAGCAAATAATAGCCCGGTACCTTGTAGGCTTAAACACAAATATCAGTCGTCCAATCCAGCTTCAGCAATATTGGACCTTGGATGATGTCATCCATCTAGCCATGCGTGTTGAGAAGCAGATGCCCAAGAGATCCACTTTCCAGCCTTCATCCTCTAGGGGTTATTCAGAAGGCCGTAAGGCAGAATTTCAGCAGACCAACTCCTCAAGCAAGCCTCAACCTACTGCTATGCACAAACCACCATCAAATGCTGCCAAGGAATCTGGTTCTAAAGCAATCAAATGCTTTAAATGCCAAGGATTTGGCCACATTGCCGGACTGTCCTACTCAAAGGGTTGTCACTATTAGGGAAGAATCAGGGTATGAAGCACTTGAAGAAGATGAGGAAGACGCTGAGTTCTACGACACTGATCCCGTATATGACGAGGAGGTCACACCTGTTGATCAAGGAGAAGCATTGGTGCTTAGACGAAGTCTGCATACAACAGTAGTCAAAGAAGAACCTTGGCTACGACGCAACATTTTTCACACTCATTGCACAGCCCAAGGAAAAGTTTGTAATGTCATCATTGACAGTGGAAGCTATAAAAATGTAGTATCTGACTACATGGTGGAGAAATTGAAGTTGCCAACACAAGATCATTCGCAACCTTATAAGCTTCACTGGCTCAATAAAGGGAATGACGTAAAAGTTTCTAAACAATGCCTTGTGACCTTTTCTATTGGGAATCAATATTGTGACGAAGTTTTATGTGATGTTGTTCCCATGGATGCATGCCATCTTCTCTTGGAGAGGCCATGGCAATATGACCGACATGCTATGCACAAAGGGCGAGCGAACACCTATTCTTTTACAAAAGATGGTGTCAAGTTCACACTAGCGCCTTTACCACCCAGTAAGATTAGCCAATCTTCAAGGGAATCTAGTGTCTCTAAGCTGTTAGTGTCTTTGTTGACTAAGGAGGAATTCAAGGTGTCGAAATCCAAAGCCCAAATGATGAGCTTTATTCTGGTGCTTGAGGTGAACGACGAGACGACCAATCTACCTGGAGTCATTTTGCTATTTTCAAAATTTTCAAATGTAATATCTGATGAGATACCACCAGGGTTGCCTCCCATGCTAGACATACAGCACGCCATTGACTTCGTTCCAGGAGCAGTCATTTCTAACAAGCCTACTTACAGAATAAGTCCCCAGGAACATGCTGAAGTCCAACGGCAAGTTGAAGAGTTGTTGAAGAAAGGGTTGGTTCGAGAAAGTATCAGCCCTTGTGCTGTACTTATTCTTCTAGTACCTAAGAAGGATGGAAGTTGGAGAATGTGCATTGACTGTCGAGCTGTCAACAAGATCACTATTAAGTATCAATTTTCGATACCTCGGCTTGATGATATGCTGGACCAGTTGTATGGTGCCACTACTTTCTCCAAAATTGACCTTCATAGTGGGTACCATCAAATTAGAATTCGGCCAGGAGATGAGTGGAAGACCGCTTTCAAGACCAGAGATGGCTTATATGAGTGGAATGTGATGCCTTTTGGGTTAACAAATGCCCCTAGCACATTTATGCGCCTGATGAATCAGGTATTGAGACCCTTCATTGGTAAATTTGTTGTTGTGTACTTTGACGATATTCTTATTTACAGTATGAATCAAGAGGAGCATTTAGATCACTTATGGCAAGTTTTGCAAGCCTTGCGTGAACAGAAACTTTATGCAAATCTCAAGAAGTGCACCTTCCTTACCAGTGAAGTTGTGTTCTTAGGTTACATCATTACCACAGAGGGTGTTCGCATGGATCCAAGCAAAGTTGCAGCCATTAACAGCTGGCCAATTCCAAAATCTATCCAGGAGGTTCAAAGCTTCCACAGATTAACTTCTTTCTACAGCAGGTTCATCCATAATTTTAGCTCAATTGCTGCACCACTTACAGACTGCACCAAAGGAGAGAAATTTCAGTGGACAGAGCAAGCTCAGAAAAGCTTTGAGGAGCTTAAGAAGAAGTTGACCAAAGCTCCAGTCCTAACTCTTCCTAATTTTGACCAAGTATTTGAAGTTAGCTGTGATGCTTCTAACATCGGTATTGGTGCTGTTTTAAGCCAGGAGGGCCATCCCATTGCCTTTTTTAGTGAGAAGCTTAATGATGCCAAGCTCAGATATTCTACCTATGATAAGGAATTCTATGCCATTGTCCGAGCTCTTCAATATTGGAGTCATTATCTCCTAAATAAAGAGTTCATACTTTTTTCGGATCATGAGGCTCTCAAGTATTTGAATTCCCAACAGAAGATCAGCCGCAAACATGCTCATTGGAGTGAACTCTTACAGTCTTATCCATTCCTTATCAAACATAAGGCTGGAACTCTGAACTTCGTAGCTGATGCCCTTAGTCGTCGCCATGTGCTACTTACAATATTGCAAACTAAGGTTGTTAGGTTTGACCTTATCAAAGAGTTGTATCAGGATGATCCTGATTTTTGAGGAGTGTGGGAAGCAACTGTAAATCAACCTTTCCACCAGTTCTACAGGCATGACGGTTTTTTATTTGAGGTAAAACCCTCTGTATTCCACAGGGTTCCTTGAGAGAAGTCATAATTTGGGAAGCACATGACGGTGGATTAGCTGGACATTTTGGACGGGATAAAACAGTTGATCTAGTAAAGGAGAACTTTTACTGGCCTTGACTTGAACGGGATGTCAACATGCATATACAAAGATACAGAATTTGTCACTTGGCTAAATCCAAGGGTCAGAATACCAGACTATACATGCCTCTGCCAATTCCAGAAGCACCATGGGAAGATATAACTATAGATTTTGTTTTGAGTTTACCACGAACTCAGAGGCAAAAAGATTCTATCATGGTAGTTGTGGATCGTTTCTCAAAAATAGCTCATTTCATCCCATGCCAGAAGACCAACGATGCTGTTCAAGTAGCAGACTTGTACTTTAAGGAGATTGTGTATCTTCATGGCATTCCTAAAACTATCACTTCTGACCGTGATGTGAAGTTTTTTAGCCACTTTTGGCAGACGCTATGAAAGAAGATAGGAACTAAGCTCCAATTTAGCAGCGCTAGTCATCCCTAGACAGATGGTCAAACTGAAGCTATAAATAGGATTCTTGGTAATCTTCTTCGTAGTTTCGTGGGGAAGAATTTAAAGCAGTGGGATCTTATTCTTGCTCAAGTTGAGTTTGCTTATAATAACTCTGTCAATCAAGCAACTGGGAAGTATCCGTTTGAAGTTGTTTATAGCACTCGTCCCCTTAGTCCACTAGACTTGAGCCCTTCACTTGATAAGCAGCAATACAGCTTTGATGTTGACCAAAGGGCTAAGGAAATTAAGAAGTTGCATGAGCAAGTCGCGAGCGAATCCAAAAGCAGAATTTGAGATACAAAGCTCAACGTGACAAGCATAGAAGACAGCAGACTTTTAAGGTAGGAGACTTAGTTTGGATACATTTACGAAAGGAATGATTTCCTAAACAGCCAAACACCAAGTTGTCCCAAGAGCTGATGGTCCATTCAAGATAGTACAAAGGATCAACAACAATGCTTACAAGGTGGAATTACCTGGTTCTTATGGTGTATCTGCTACCTTCAATGTCGCTGATTTATCTCCGTACGTTGATGAAGATGATGAATTTGACTCGAGGGCGAGTTCTTCCCAACCCGAGGAGGATGAAACAGAAAGAGCAAAAACGAGCTGAAACGGAAGGCACACACATAATGAAGCAGAAACGGGAGACACACATAATAAGAGCATAATAAACTCTTTGTAACCTCCCCTTAATTTCTGTAACCCCCCTTTAAATTTGTATGGTTCAGTTTCACGAATTATAGGACTATAAATAGGACCCTTGTGGCTGTGAAAGAGGCAGACTTGAAAGAATAAGAATTGTTTGTTTTCATTTAGTTTCTATGCCTTCAGTTTCATGAATTCTAGGACTATAAATAGACCCTTGTGGCTGTGAAAGAGGCAGACTTGAAAGAATACGAATTGTTTGTTTTCATCTGGTTTCTGTGCCACTAAATGATCACCAAATAGTTATTATAAATAGAGAGACTTTTTTCACATGCCCCTTTATTGTGTCTTTCTTTTTTCTTAAGTCAACTAGTGTAGATTGTATTTTTGTCTTTATCTTAATTTGATAGCATTAAATCATCCGTTTGCATTGATTCAACCCAGGATATCCCAAATGCCTCTGTTTTTACAATGATAAAAGAGTAGAGATCAGAGATTGATTGACTCTGAACATTTCTTCCTACAATCTACAAGAATAAATAAAGTCCATTTCTCCACAGTGAGAGATGACAAAAAGGGATGAAATGGTAGAAAATGCAAGAGAATAATATGACCAGAGATATTTGAAATGCCTGTAAGATGGACTCTGATTCCATACTAATGTGGTGATTGCTTATGATGTATTAAAGAAAATGATCCACCACCGTCTTGACATTATCCTGTATCACATAAACATATGTCAACATACCATCAAATTCATATTGATAATGAAGCTTGGATTGAAATATGCAAATCAAACCCCATCCAAAAAGACACGTAAAATGAGGTAGCTCTAAAGTGCAACATAACAATACCCACAGATCACAGCCTGTCGATTTTGAAAATCTCTTGTAAATGAATTCCAGCCAGATAAAGAACAGGAAAAGACAGACAAATAATAAGTAGAGCATGGCAGAGAAATAATGAGATGCATACTGGAAGAAGAAGAATTCCACAAAGCTTTGCTATCTCTGGCATCAGTAAGAGATGTAAGCTCTTCTGCTCATCACACAATTTCCTTCTTTTCTCATATTCAGCTTTTTTACCTTGAGACATATCAGTTGAGAAAAAAGTATAATTAGCAGACTGGATAACCAACATTAGCAGTTGAACAAGGCAAGAATTGAGAGACAATAAATCCGAAAATTTATCAACTTCATTAACTACAAAGGACACAACAGAGTGATTGATTAATAATGGTGACCACTAACCTTCCTCATTTCCAGTAGAAGAGTTTTCACCTTGAAAATTTGAAGGTAGGTCATCAACAACACGATTCATCACTTTCCTACGTTTCCTTGCTATTTCTTGACTCTCAAAGTCCAGAGTATCTACTGAACCACCAATATGATGGGCCCTTCGACGATTCTGTTGAGATGAACCGCATGAGTGTTTCCATTGAGGAACTTTTTCCTTTAGAACACATACTTAATCTTGAAAAGCTTGAAATCACACCCTAAATATCCTATTAAAAACTCTTACCTTAAAACCCAGTAAGACTATGAAGTGATAGAGAATAGGGGAGCAGATGAGCAAGACTCCCAAGTCCTAACCTTTGCCCTGTTGTCATCCCTCACTACAGGGATCATTGTAACTCAAAAGTAAGGTGAAAACTTGAGGAAGCAAAACTTTTAGAAGCTAGGGAGGATAAACCGAAAACAAATACCTGAAAAAGAATGAGTACCCTCAGACCCTTCTTTTTCAACTCCATAAGCATTGAATCCAGAGCTTGCAGCTTCCCACTAGCTTTTATTCCAATGTCCAGGTACTCAGCAGCTTGATGGCCTTCGGTAAGCAGAGTTTGTACAAATGGATCAACAACATAAGGGTGATTACAACACTGCCATGAAATGCACATGATAAATAAAAAGGTGAAAACATGAAGAAGATTTAGAACCACTTAAAGCTTATAAATGAATTGGAAAGCCTCAAGGAACTTCAAATCAACTAAATTAAATAAGAGAAAGCTTAAAGGAACTCCAAATTAAAATACATAAACATCTAGAGATTTCCACCTTAAATTAATCATCTATTTAAAACATAACACCAAAATGTCTAATTCAAATTTATTTTTATCATAATAATTCCAAGTTATAACATGTGCATAGATTTGTTTACAAATATAATCACGGACCAAGACTTGACAGTAAAATGTTATTACATACTCTAGTTAAGGAAGTAGTTATTATTTAACTTATCATAAATAACCATGAACCATCTTGAAAAAAATTAAAAATAATAATATAGTACTCTCATAATTAAAATGGTGAGATCCAAATACTGCATCATAAGACAGCTAGAATTCTAACCTTCCCAGTTGAAATAAGAAGGTCCTGAAGGGCCCCAACACTATCATTTTTTGATGATGAGCGAAGAACTGAAGCATTTGAAACTAAAGTAGAACAATATTGCTCAAGCTGCACTTGAGATATCTGTACAGGAACCCAATACTCCAGAAACCTAAAGGAATCTGTCTTGCATTTATGTGCAATATCCTCTGTCATCAAAGAAGAGTGCTTCTTAATTCTTTCAGATCTCCTCATAGGAGTTGGCAACTTTGGTTGCTTAAGCCTCTCAAATTTCCTTCTCTTTGATTGAGTTGGTATTGCCCTTTTTAGTAAACGCTCGGACTTCCAAGTTCCTGAAGGAATTGAAAACATCCTTAATGATGTCTTTCTAGCGGACCTTTTGAGATAATTTGCATCAAATGCAGAAGAGCCTGAGCTCCTTCCATTACTAATTTTATCATCCTTAGACTTGCTACTAGAACGTGTATTGTATGCCATCAATAGAAGAACATGTCAGATTCGTAAGGACACAAATAAATTTGAAAACGTCAATGAAATCTGAATCAGTTTATCAAGTTGCATCCCAAAACCAATTGAGATTACTTAAGGGAAAAAAGAAAAGAGAAAATACTATTGGAAAGTGTAAGGGAAAAAAGCTTATATTGCACTGCATTTATAAGGAAAAACTAAATATAGCATAAGAAGTAGGCTATGCAAGACTAAAGTGCATAAAACTTGCCCTAATATTAACACTTACTCTTTCCTTTAAAAAATATAAAATATTTTTAACCGAATCTCATCCTATCAATAAAATAGTTACTTATCTTCAAACTAACACTATCTTTTTATAACTACTTTTATTTAATAGGGTGTTTCACTCTAAAAAAACACAATGATTATATCTTGAAATACTAAAAATATCTTACATTTTTTAACACCTAACTCTTAAAAAATCTATTATATTTTTGAATGGAGAGAGTACTTTTAACATTCCTATTCAGGCATAAATCATATAGTTTACATACACGCAGTGTGAACCAAGTAAAAATGATACAAGGATCTCTAAGGGATTTAGTAAAGATATCCAAAAGCAAGTTATTTGAGTCGACAAAACTTGTAATAATGCAATAGGACAAATTTTTCCCTATAAAATGACCACCCAATTCTATGTGCCTGGTAATAAAAATGTATTTATTATACATCATAACTTATGTAATTAGAATTTTCAATTTTAAAGGAGTGAAAAAAAGAAAAAAAAAACAAAACAAAAATAAAGACTCCAAAAGTGTGCAAGTATGTGCTTTAGACTTAAGAGTATAAGAGTCTAAGCATTCAGAGTATAGCTATTGAGGGCAATGCTACCGTCCACCTGGTAACTTCATATATACCATGAGACGGTCAATTAAAAACTGAGCACAGTGCCGCTGTCGCACTGTCGAGCGGGATGCTACCAGCCTCAACTCCTTTTAAATATAATATTGTAAGGTCCTACGAAGCATGCTCTGCAATGTACGCCGTGCATATAAATGATACATTCAGAACAAGTCAATATGTTCACAAACCATCTTGGTATATTTATGGTTTACGCAAGGACTAGATTAAGGTGCAGTTTCTTTAGTCTTTGTTATCAACGAAATAGGATATAAGCAAAGAAAATAAATCATGAAATATTGAGTTGTAAGAGTAAAGAGATAGGGATTAGAGGAAGAATGAGGAGAGAATATTAGCTTAGCTTTTGACCCGAGAAGAACTGGAGAAGCACAGGGGAGCCTTGTCTCACAATCTGCTACCGTCCGCCACGTCTCAGCCGTCACTGCCAGATGAGCAATGGAGTGCCGCCGCCCTTCACAAAGAGAAAGAGTGACCAGCGTGATGAGGTATGGCCGTATGGGACTGAACTTCAGACTTGAGGATGAAGAAATCTTGAGGGGGCAAACCCGCTGCTTATTCAATTTGTTTTGCGGCGGGGAGACTGAGAACCTGGGCCCCGAAGATCAAGTTTGAAAGGATTGGAATCCTGGCAGTGAACATATAGAAATCTATCCCGTTTTGTGGGAGGATGAACAAAAATCAGAAGCTTGAACAAAAATCTATCCCGTTTTATCATGCAGTGATAATTGACCATAGTTTTTTAAAATGGTTTTTATTTTTATAAAATGAATAGATTGTGAAAAAGAGATTGGCTAACCATGTTTAAGAGAGAAGAAAAGTAATTTAGTTCCTGATATTAAAAATTAAAAATTATGATTATGACATGTTGATTCTCATGTTTATAATATGAAGAAGGTTTATTTATCATATTTGCCATAAAGTAAAGGATAATTTAATTCATTTTTTTCTTATTCCTTGAATTCATTTTATTCCCACATTTTCCAGTCAAACCAGGAGGCTCCAAACTGTTCAATATGGTTCAACGTCACGAATGACATTGGATCATCAATGTTCTCGGTTCACCGACCGTGTTGGCGCCTCATCATTGGAGCATTCTCTTTGGGAGCACTTTTGAAGGTTAAATCTTTTTTTAAAATATTTTTTAAAATTTTTATTTTTAAATTTTAAGAGCACTTTTTAAAATGAACACTTTTAAATAATATCCACCAGAACACTTATTTTAATAAGTACTCTTGTAGATTTCGCTTCCTTTTTAAGTAGCGCTTTTTATATAAACATTCTAAAAAATAGACTCTTAAATATATTTTCTGTAGTAATTAATGTAAACAACATTTTTAGAATTGTTGCAAAATAAAATATTGTCAGAACAAAAAAATTGTTATAGTGCAATTACTGACAACATCTATCCACGTCAATTCATGTTAATTAGCACCATGAGTTGCCAATTTTAACGAGTAATAACATTATTTTACATCATTGTTTGTGAATTCTCAGAAATTCATACTTCATGCTAATCGAAGTTATGAGCAAGATTATTATTATATAGAAATTTTGACACTTGGAGTTGCACCAACCGACCATTTAGTTGTTGCAGGGGTCTTGCGTTGGTATAAAATACCTGCAAAAGGAGACAAAGTAATTAAGTTGCTGCTTAGAAAACTTGTGATACGTATCTATTAAAGCGTTTACTTGATCAAACCCATTGTGGAAATTAATTTACACTAAATTTAGACACAAAGCAAACAACTACAGATGTAATCTTAATGGCTGATGAACTCTAATCAGTGTAATATTTCTTGTAGGTGTAGTTGATACGTGAATAAAAAATCATGATGAATTGTGATCAGTTTAATCTTTATTTACTTGCGAATTCTTGAATATAATGTTATATTCAAGAATTTAAACAAATATGAAAAGTCTTACCTTAAAAAAATTAGATTTAATAACTAACATTAAAATAAAAAAAGACAAGTGACCCATAAACTTAAGCTATGAATTTTGGAGTTAAAATAGAGTGTCCTCCCGTTAATCTTACTCATCTCTCATCTCCCCTCATTCTAAAGCGGTCGCTCCTCATTTCTAAGAAATGGTTTTAAAGCTAAGTTTTATCAAAACCTAAAATCTCATTAGTAAGTGGATTTAAGCAAATGTAGGAAGTCCCATACCAGATAAAATTAAGCTAAATAATTAATATAAAATAAAAAAATTTATAAACTGAAGTTTTGATATTTTAAGTTAAAATGTGACCTTTGTTTTTTTTTTTTTTACTACTCTTGCTTGTCTGTCCTCTCACCCCAAACAGGATTGGTTTTTGTTGTAGCAAGGATTTGGTATTTATGACATCTCTGATATAAGGAGTTTATACTTTCCAAACAGTCGCTCCCCATTCTTAACATTATTAATTGTTATTATTTTGTTTTTGGAGGATGACAAGTAAGGACCTTGTAAAAAAATTAATGTTAAATTAAGAATTTTAATACTAAAATATGAGAGAACAAGTATTAAATTTGGGAATGTTAGTGTTAAAAAATTCTAATTTGATATTAATATTCTTATGGATCTTTAATTGTCATTTTCTCTTTTTTTTTCCCTGAAATTATTAGGTCCATTTTATACATAAAAAAAAAGTAATTAATATCAGTCTTCTCCGCTTTCATATTGCAAACATATATAATGCGGCGCTGCATGGGATAACTGAAAGAGAGTCACAACTCACGGTAACTCTCGTCTCTTTCAAGGGAGAAAAAGTGAAACAAAACTTACGTCTTCAACAGCAAGACGAAGCAATCCAGCTTGCTCCTTTGAAACCTGTTTAACCTAATATATATACACATATATATATGAACGAGGTACAAATTAAGAACACAACGTGCAAAAAAAAAAAATGAATGTCATTTTTATTGTCGGTAAAGAAAGATGAAACCTCTCCAACAACGGTCCACACCACATTCTCATCACAAGGAGGAGTTGTTAAAGAACCCTTATATCTGTAGTAGAGTCTCTTGTTTATGTTGATGACAAGCTCAGGATCAACCATACCCAACGGAACTTTTGCTTCCCTGTCTTCAGAAATGTGTATCAAATCATCCATTACCTAAAAGAAAAGAAAGATCGTACACATATACAGTGGTACGCCACACACCGTAGTCAGGAGATATCCAAACACGAGAGAAAATGAAATAGATATGGACCATAAGATGTAGGTGTTCTGTTTAATTAGTTACCGTTTGCAAGAAAGGATCAGGAAACCCGATTTCATAAAATATGCCAACCACCGCAATTAGTCCTGCTCCACTTTTGTGCACCATGTGTATCTCTAAATCAAACCTGCTTTTCAAATATTATGCATCGATCTTCCAATAGTATGGCTATCACATAATTATATCCTGTTGTATATGTGTATAAGGCGCGTGTGTGCTGATGGATATATAATTAAAGAGCGCATGCACCTCATGCCATTGATAGTGTGTTCAGAAGGAAAGTGCCAGTGACATTGTTGGAGAAAGTATTTGGTTTCGTTGACGAGAAGATGGCCTGCGTCTCCTGTCCACTCCAACTAGGCAACCATTTCCACATAAATTTGAAGCTTTTATGCACACAGAGAGAGAGAGAGAGTAGTGCAAGCGATTAATTACCCTGATATCATGGCCGGTATTGAAAAGAGAGGCATTGGAGGGGTGATAGTTGAAGTGAAGGGGGCCTAAACTGGATGTAAATCGAACCTCAAGATTGCTGAGATTAATGGGAGACTGGGTGCTTCCATTTTTGCACTTATACCACTCGGGTCTAATGTCTCCCCAGTGAGCCGGCCCGTTCTCACTATGCGGATCGTAGCTAAACTCGTCCTCTGGGTATGTTCCACCAACAGGAATTAATAAAGCTAGCTAGAGAATACAGAGGTATTTGTAATGTTATTAATGAAGATGGATCATGTGCTTACCAGAAGAGGTTGCAGAGAAGGAGAGGAAAAGGAGAGCCAGGAAGAAGCTGGGAAGGAAGAACCGGGCGGGAAGCTCGTCCATTAATTATTAATGCTGTACAAAGTCCTCTCATATATGTCTCACGATTTATAAGTTCCAAGGAGAGGGAAGTAGAAGTGACGGGGCAAATAAAGGAACATGCGGTTTGGGTGAGTCCGCCAAAACGCCAGATGTTGCACTTTCCTTTTACGGCAAGGCAAGCTTTGGTTCGTCCCATTCTGTGTGAAATATCCCGAACACCCAAACATATCCCGACCTTTCTATTTTAATTCCCAATCTGTCCTTCCTTTTCCTTTTAATCTGCTCTCAAAGATTATGTCAACTAATTGAGGATGAAGGATTTCAACACCGTACGTGTGCCTAGCATTATTCTGCAATTTGAGATTTCCCTGCATACGTGTTAATTGGTTTAGTTCATGCTTGAATATGAATTATAATTAACAAATTAATTTTTAGCAAATGTAACTTAATTGCATTGAAACCAGGGGAGCAAAATCAGGTTCAAACTTCAAACTCTGCCTAAGGAACATTGCTGCGCCGAATGGTATTGGTATCCTACAAATAATTAAATAACCTCATTATTTGGTTCAATCTCTCCGTCTTGTAACAGTTGAAAACACCCCGGCAGTTGGTGATCCGTTATTATAAGCCAAGATTATCTTCGATGAATTACAAATTTATTACATATGAAAATCAAAATCTGTAACAGAAGTAAAAATATATATATATATATATATATATATATATATAAGAAAGAGCAAGTTTCTGTGCTTGCGTTTTCATTCAGCCCAACCAAACATGCGTTTTTCAGATTTACCTTTCAAAGCCATTCATCAAATTAAGCGAGGCATCGTGTGATTTAACTGCTGGGAGTTGGCCACATGGGCCTAGTAAGTTGATGACTGATGTCGATCAGCTTGAAAGTTGGGCTGATTAATTGGACCGGGCCCAACATAGAGAAAATTAAAATATTTTTCAAAACTAAGTTGAAAAGTTAAACTAAAAGCCCTTAAATTTTCAAGAACTTCTACACATGTATTCAGTTACGATGGCCTTTGCTGTCTGAGGTCCCAAATTTTCCAGACATGATCTGAATAGAGACTTAAGAGTAGTTCGTTGAAAACATTGAAATTTTCGACCCTTGTTTTCCCTGCTTTTGTTATTATAGCACTCTAGAATTGACAAGTAGAACAACTCCCCAAGTAATGTTTCATGATTCACATAATTTAATCAAATTAAATCAATTGTTAAACTAATAATATAATAATTAAATTTAAAAATTATATATATAATAATAATAATTTAAATATAAAAAATAAATATAAAATTCCTACTCTACTTAAATTCAAATATTTTAAATTTATTATAACTTAACAAACAATATAATATAATATAATATAATATTAATGATTAAAAAAATTAATCTTTTTTTAAAAACAAAATTTGAGCAATTTAATTTTTAAAAACCAAATTCAATTCCAAACTTAATTCCTGTTTTCAATCCTACGACCAGTTCAAAACAATCCAACTCAATCTTAAAAATTATTTGTACATATTGACCGAGTCAAAATCTAAATCAGTGGGACTGTTCGTTCAAGTGTTTTAATCGCTGATACAGATAAAACATACACCTTGAAGGCAGTTGAACTTGAACATCATAACTTTTCTGAAAACATGTTTCAGGGCAAACCTTACACGCCAAACTCTTTTGCCCGGCCCAAATTTAATTACACTTTTGAGAGCTCACCTAAACCTAAAGACAGAAAAATAGTCGCGTAACCCAGAGGTCACTCGTATAGGAGTCAGTATGTTCGTCTATCCCTTCCTCGTTTGTCATGTTTTTTTTCTCATTGGTGTAAAAGAAGACATGAAGATCTAACCCACAAAGTCATGGATCATGTGCTCTCCAAAGTGATGTCTAATCTGGTCCTCCTGGTGTAATTGTTGCTGCTGCTGGTGTTGTACGGCTTCAATCCCATGTCTAAGACCCAGCGTTAACGACACAGACCCGAGTCCCCCAACATCCAGGCCTGCATCACGCCTGTAAGGAACAAAACCCATTAAGGCCCCATCCATGTTTGGCGTAATCTGACATTCCAATTTAGACCGCTTCTCTTGATTCCATTGCTCTGCCGCACCCATAAATCCCACGCCCTCCGGATTCCCTCCCAAGGGACTCATTTCCAAACACTGGAATTGTTTCTCCGGCATTACATCTCCGTGTCTACCAAACTTGCCTAGAGGTTCTGCTACCATAGCTTGTTGACTGCTTCCTTCTGCCCCAGATGCTCCCTCGTTCTGGTTGCCACCTGCGAAGCCTTTTGTTTCAAGGTTGTGTATTTCCTCAACCATTGGCTTCCATACACGGACTCGAGCATTTATGAACCAGTTTGATACCTGCGCGTTCCTCGTTTGTATCATTGTTGCATTTACACACGTTTAAACTTCAATCGTTAGAGAAAATATCAGAAAACTAAAAAAGGTTGCAATACGGTGCATGTTCAGCCTTAATTAAAAGCTCCCAAGACAAAAGCAAGAACATCAAAACACAGATTACAAAGGCCAAGAGAAATAAATGCTGTCTTGCTGGCCCATGGTATGGACCCATTAGAAACAGGTGTGATAGTGTCAAATCCCAATTAATCAATCAACCAAACAGAAAAAACATACCGACACAAAACAATAATGAAATAAGAGTAGACCCCCCCACCTGGTTTCGAGATAGACCTGTTTGTGTCGCCAGCATGTGTTTATCAGTATCCGTGGGGTACCTGGAAAGAAATCACGCAAGTGCATCATTTTTCTTTCTTTCTTTTCTTTTTTGTTTTTGCTTTTTGTTTTGGAGAACGGAAGGTCGAAGGACAGGAGAGTTCATACGGGTGGAGGAAATGTTCAAATAACCAAGCTTTAAGAATTGCCACCGCGCGCTCGGGCAAGCCTCTCTGTGGCCTCCAAACTTGTTGAGGTTCAAGAAATGAAGCTTTGTTCTTCTGAAAGCTTTGTTCCAGATATGTTAGCCCAGTGTCAAGTTTACTAGTTGAACCAGACGTGGATCCTGACAACTCCTCCCCCAACACCTCTCTTGTATGCTTGATCTGATCCAAGATGGCATTTTTCAGGCACTTGAAGTGTCTTGTTATCGACTTGAGAGCCATTGTGATATAAGGGGAAGCTGAACTCAGACCTGCTACTGACTCGAAAGATGAAACAACCATATGCATTTGTTGGTGATATTGCTTGTGTTTTTTCGTAACCTAATATACTCCGACACAGGATTCAAAAGTCAATCTGTTAGAAGCATTTATGTAAGTGAAGTAACAACCATATTTAAAAACAATAAACTATCAAGCTAATCACAGAAAAATTCATCATCACGTCATTCCAAAGCATTAGGGATCTTAGCATTCCTAAAGTGTCGATGGAAAACGCTCATTATAGCATCATGTTTACTCATCATTACGATAGTACTTCTTTCTTTATGGTTAAACTATAATAATCATATCCTACTAAATATAGAAAGTTTCAATACCATATAATGCTAATTTCAGCAAGCGTTTGCAACCAGGAAGGTTTTTCCCATCCATCAAGCTCAACATGCGGGAGTTTTAGACAAACAGATGGTAGAAATTTGATCACCATCATACATGTTTGCAGGGTGAAAGAGACAGCAAAAATAGAAAAGTGACAGACTTCCTGCGCTCCAGATCACACTAGGCAGGATTTCTATATTTTATTTCGCCACAAGGCAGGATTCCTAGATAGACCACAGGTCTAGGTACAACGCAGTACAAGAAAGCAAACATTTTCCTTCAGAATCTTATCCAAGAAAGGAAAAATTTCCTTTCCTATGCTTAAAAGTTGCTCCTACAAAATCAGAATATCTCAAACAACTATAAATAGAATTCAGAACCCACAAAATGCTATCGCACTAATCAGGTTAGGATTAGGACCTTCAGACTATCTAGAAAAATCTTCACGCCCAGATCCAAGGCAGTAATTTTTAGGTGCAACAGCGCATAAAATTTAGAATATTTCGCCCATGCCCAGTTATGGTAGCTCGTAGGCGTCCAAAGAACAATTCAACCGAATAGATCAAAGAGACACCAAAAAGCACCGTCAACAATATCATCACCATCAACTAGATGATATGATGTAATGAGACTCCTTTTCATTTTTTACCCCATCCCCATGTCTTTCCCATCAAGTATGAACCATAATCATGCTTTATTACACCCAAAACGAAACTTTATGACAGCAATTAATGTGCTCCAAAAATTAAAGCAAATTTGCTATTTGATTACACAAAATGGGCCAAGGTTCATCTCTCCATCGTTCCTCACCTTCCAAGACTCGCCACTGCCTCGTTGCTCTGTTTAGAGGCAAATACTACAGCTGTAGCAGCAGCCAACCTCCCCATCTTCCACTCTAATACTTTTGTTTTTCCTTCTCTCATTAGTTTTCCTTGCTGTCTCCTCTCTAAGGGAACATTAATTTCCTTTGCTAACAGAAAGTTTCTCCTCCTTATAAGGTTAAGAGCTTTGGACTTGAGGAAAGTTTTTAAAAGATTTTGAAGCCTTGCTAATCAGATCTACAACAAAAAGCGACAGATCTTAAAGGAAGAAGACATTAGAAGGCTTTAATTTTAAGAAAGTCGACGGGTGAGTCATCTGCCCATCTATTACTGTTAATTCTTTTGGTAACGGTAAAAACTCTTTCAATATTGCTTTTAATTAATAAGTTTTTTACAATGCCCGAGGGGCTTGTTGCCTCTATTTCAGTTTTAACACATTTCATTTTTAAAAAGCTATACACAATTTTGTTTGGTTATGCTTTTAAGCAAGAACTAATAAACTAATAAATACTGAGATATCTAAACATGATTGGCATGCTTGAAATAGCGGAATAAGCTTTGAAATCCCCCAACTCATACAAAGGAATCCATCAGCATCATAAAACACAAACATGTAATCCGAATCAATAATACACGAATTATCTCCCAGTGGCATAGGTAAAAAAATTAAAGTCTCAAAAGACAACCGAACCTAATTCCGATCTTTTGGTCTTGTCACTTTTCAGCAATCCGCAGCAAATGACAAATTTAGATCTTAGTGACATAAAATTCCAGAGATCTCTGAAAAAAATTATGACATTCCAAAAGAATATGGCTGCAAACCTGCTTCAAATTAAATTTTCACTCAAACTACTAATATTGCCTTATTCTAGACTAGCCCTAATTTTTATTATTATTTTAAATAATTATGTCTATTAGGTTGGAGATAGCGTGGAGATTTTACAACCAACCTTTCATTTTTCCGACAGGAACCCAATTATCTACTTGCTGCACACGGCAATGTGACCATTTGGCTTTTCTCACAGATGAACAGTACGTTTCTGACAGATAACTATTTATATAATATAAAAATAGGAGAACTCCCACTAAAAATATCCTCACATTTGTTATAAGCATCCACATATAAGACAAAAGTAAACTCATGAAATGCGTATAAGGAGCAGTAATTAATAACCAACCTCCTCTTGCATGTACAGGAGCTTCGACTTTTTTTGTTGATACGCCGACAGGGAAGAATAATCAAAGTTTCCTCTTGCTTCACAAGCACCACTGTTTTCGTCGGAATGAAATAAGATAGAACACGAAGCAGCGCCTGCATTGCTAACGCTTCCTTTTGCACTAACCCCACTTTTAGTTGCACTAATGACAGCTTCTGCTGCAGAATAAGCACTGGCTTCTCCGGACAGCCTAGAGATATCAGAAACATCGGATGCTTTAATAACGTTGGAGCCACACATGTTACAGAATTCATCCAACAACTCTTGGGCTGGTTTCAAGAATCTCGAACTCTTTAAAATGGTTGCATATCCTGTGAAAGGCCCGAGCGGGCCTACATTACTTCGATAACCACTGGCGTTCGAAGCTACTCCCACGACGTCTTGGAGTGATTTCCCACAATTTTTAGTAACTAAGGATGAAGGCTTCACAACAGATTTCGCAGATTTATCACATCGCGAGTAAAGTTCGTCCGATCCGTGCCCATCGCGGAATGGGAACCCAGCAAGAGAAGCCTTGGAATGGGAATTTGAAGAAAGTGATAAAGATAGCCCCTGAGGATTTATGGAGTCGCTCAAATTAGTATTTCCGAAATGAAACAAATTTGATTGACTTTGATTTCCCATCCAGATACCGTGACCAGGATGTTGCATCTGAGAGGCTATATGATCGGTGGATCCTTGGGCACCGATAGAAGCTGACTTGACGATATCGTGTAAAGTATTCTGGAAAAGTGGAGGTAGAAACGAAGGATGATGCACTTCATCACCTAACTGCCTTCCCATGAGTTCGTTGTAACTAGGCTTCCCCAAGTGCTGACACACAGGCGCATTGTTATTATTCAATTCGGTCGCATAACTAGAGCTGGGATTATTGGTTTCATTGACCCCGGAACTACTTCCATAATTGATCATCCAATCATAACCCAAGTTAACTCGCGGTTGATCAGCTGACGACGGTCCTTGTTCCGGTACAGATGAACGGGGGAATGAAGCATAGTGAGGTAACATTAGTCTACTTGGTTTGACTTCGTCTCCAGCAGATAAAGGATTCGACGGTGTTGAAAAATTGGCCATTTCCGATGAATAAAATGCTGGTTCGTAAAGCATGTTGGCGTTTCTGACATTCCTAACTTGCAGAAAATCCGAGTTTAAGCCTGGGTGTAGTGACAATTGTTCAATATTAGTCGGGAAATCTTGTAAATGCTGGGAGCTATTCTGGATTCTCAACTTGTCACGCCGAATCTGTTGTGCTACATGCGATTCTGGCCTTAGACTACTCATTCCAACCCCACACAAAACAGATGCGACAGAAAATCCTCTACAACCTCAATCTTGATTGCTCACCTGCAAAATATTCAGCATGCTTTAGATGTTCAAAAGATAAAAACAACCCCAGAACGCAAGTTGAGGAAAATAGTTTGGACCCAAAACCCCTTTACTAACGAACAAGCACGAAGACGGAGGCAAGAATAAAGTAAGCTACCGTCACGAGTGCCCGAAACGAGCAGCATATACTGTTGTAAACAGGAGCTAGTATTTCAAGAAAATGACACATAACAAGGAAAAAATGGACAAAAACGAGCCAAAAGAAACAAGTAGATATCCTACAACGAGTTTGAATGCTTAGAAGAGAGAATTAGTAGCTGGTACTTGTTCCTTTTCCGGTCACCAGGTTTGGCCCGATATAACAAAAACAAAGCAATCTTCGAAGCCCTCTTCTCCACCCCTACCGCAAGATGTCCACTATCTCAGACGCATACATCTGGCGTCTACATATTCTCCACCAAACAAAAGCAAGTCGAGGCCAATCCTTCAACGTGAACCGAAACGCGCAACACTAGAAGCCAATACTAAAACCCTAGTTGGATGCCCCTCGAACGGATCTACTGGCTCATACTCTGACCATACCTTAACAATTCCGTAACTGTACAAGCAGCTCGAGCTACGCCGTGAGACTGGATAAAAATCTGAACTTCCATTTGTAACCGTAAAAACCAGCGAGAGAGACGAGTTTAGGTACCAGTAGCAGCAAAACAAGCGAGACACATGGAACGCCAACCACGAAACAAGAGGAAGAAGTTAAAGCGGTTCGGGGAGAGCGCATGTGAAAATATATATAGCAAGAGATGGGGGTGCTGGTCCGTCGCCAACCCCCGTAAGCAGAAATTGCTAGAAAACAAAAGTGTAGTTTCATTACAGTTGACAGGTACAGTGGGTTCATTATTACCTTGGAAAAGAAGTAGCAGTGGCCGGATCGCAAGTTGAGGAGAGAGGCAGTGAAAATTCCGATGAGGATAGGCTTGGGAGTGCACATTCCGGTCAAGCTACGAGAAGCGAATGGTGAAGAGCGACAGAGGGAAGGCGCACTGCACACACCCCCAACAATGATTGCAATATGCGATCAGCGGTGGTCGTTACCTGTTTAACAACGTCTAAAGCGCGCTTTAGCACCATATTAACGTAAAGTCGCCGTTAATATACTTATTCAAGTGGTTGAGGAATGGGACGCTCCCCCTTCAATTAGTGCTCTCCTTTACTGCTTGATTTTATTTACACATTATTTTTAATATTTTTGTCAGAATTAAAAAAATATTTAATCTCATTAATTCCATTTAAAAATTTAATAAATTTTAAAATTTAATTTAATTAAATATACTTATTTTTAAAATAAAATATTCTAACATTTAATAATTTTTAATATTAAATAAAAATAAAAAAATAAATATGAATATGATAATTGAAGTGCGTTGTAAGCAGAATCAAATCAAATTTCTTTATTTTATAAATAAAATAAAAAGGGCATGCTATTTTATTATTTTTCCCATTTTCGCCCGAACACCTGTGCTTTTGTTTCTACGGGTGTAATATGTTTTTTTCTAACAAAAAAATTTATGCAGCTTTATTACAAAATTGTTTGTCATCTATAAATATTATAATATAATTTGGTAATGTTGATATTTGTATATTGTATGTGAATTTAGATGCATGGGTATATATGTAGGCTATCCACAATACTGAAGGATGTCGATAGAAACACCAGTTTAAGTATAATTTATACATAAGTATTTTTGTTATGATTATGATCATTATTGTTCGTTTTAGTCCAGTACCGGGAAGCCGGTGCAATTAAATTCACTCTTGATAATTTGCACGGGACGGCAACGGACCTCCCATCCTCAAGACGACAAATTCCTACTTGCGAACGGTCAAATTGATGGGAGATAGAGCAGATATTTTTTGTAAATTTAAAAGTAAACAGGAGAGTGTTAGGAGTACTTGCAGCGAGTTGTATTTAAATTCAGATCTATACTTCATTCGATATTATGAGACGTCTATATTAATTATATTTAAATCCATTATTGTTTTTTTAACAAAGTTGTCATCCATTATATAAATTTTTTTGTTTTTTGTAAGTTTTGAATTACAATTTTACCCTCCAACAAATTTTAAAAAGAAGTGCAATATTTTAATTTTAAAAAAACACAAATTTTAATCCCTATACTTTATTTATATTTTATTTTTAGTCTCTATATTTTTTTATATTTTAGATCTTTATATTTTTATTTTTTATTATTTTCGATCCCTCTATAAATAAAGTGCAAGGATTTTGGAGAGATCAAAAATAATAAAAAATAAAAATTTAAGAACTTAAAACATAAAAAAAATACAAGAATCAAAAGAAAAATACAAATAAAATATAGAGATTCAAAGCTATATATTTTCAAGAAAATTTTGTTCATATATTAAATATTCTTTTTTTAAATAAAGACAAAATTAGAGAATAATTTATTTTTAAGATAATTTTATTATTCTAATTAATTCAGTGATTTTGATGAGTTAAAAATGATTTATTAAAAAAATTTGAAGGGAATACGGGTTAAAATTACAATTTCAATAGCACACGTCAAGTCTTAGTGTTTGTTTTATTTATGGGGAAAAAAAAAGAGTTGTTTGGAGCTGGAAAGTGAACAAATTGGAAAATGAGAAGAGGGGGGGACAAGAAACATTTGTAATTCAGTGAAAGAGAGAGAGAATAACGCAAGAAGTGATGTCAATACTGCTTTCACGGGCCAAAACGAGGCGGGGTGACTCGTTCGATTTTTGTGAAAGATAGGAGAGGGGCGATGCCTTTAAAGTGAAAATAAAAAGAAATAAAAAAAACAATGAAAAGGGGGTTTTGTAAAAAAAAATAAACGGTGCATGGATTGGATGAAGCGTAAAATGATACTAAAATTACGTGGCAGAGAGTAGAAAGAAGGATTAGGAGAGAAGGGAGACAAAAGTAAGAAGAAAATAAAAAAGAAAAATGAAAGGGACTGAAAAAGTTGAGAGAGAGGGGGGTTAACAGGGATTGATGGCATATGTTGGACCACGTACGTGGGTCAGTCCAGCTGAGACCTATTGTTGTTTGAACGGAGTGACGACACCATCCCTCACATCCCCCCCCCCTCGTTCCCAACAATCTCTCTGCTCTTCATATTTCCATGTAATTATGTGTTTATATTTTGAAGGCCCCCCTTCCAATCTCTTTTTGTAATCATGAACTATTTGACCGAACTGGTTCAAATTAATTTTTACTCCGTCATCCGGGATCTATGTGTCAAAAATTATGATTCTGAAATTATCGTCCAACATGGACATCTAAATACACTCGCTGTAAGAATCATAGCGAGGGAGGAAACAGGAATGGAAATGCACAGACGAGGCGCAAGCAAATTAAAAAAAGGGGGGTTCATCGAGGTAGGCAATGAAAAAGGGTTTCTTTTTTTATTTTTTTTTTGAGGGGGGGAATAGTGAAATCGAGTGTGATCAGCTTTTCTCTTGTTATCGGTAAGTGGAGATATTACCTCTGCCATTAACCAAAAGATCTCCTCTCCGACATTCGAGACCTCTGCTCACCTTACGTCATCTCCTTCTCCTCCTCCCTCTTTCTCTGTGTTTTCTCCCCACCTTTCTACACATGCATTCTCATTAACCAGAAGCACCTTCAAACTTGTATACTGTGTAACTTCTTTCTCTCTCTCTCTCTCTCTCTCTTTTCCGGCCTAAACTATGCTACATAACTTCACCCCTTCCTTTACGATCTACACACTCTATAATGAATAAAAAACGAAAAAAAAAAAAACTCCTTCTGAAGATGACTCGTTTTTCCAAAGGATTGGAGAACGGATCGGGTCCATTTTTGATGAAGGCCTTGAAGTACAAACTGTCAGATCAACTCTTTGCGTATGGGTTCCAGTTCGACGAGATAGGGAAAAGAAACTGAAACAAAGCCTAATTATGGGTATTAATGAGTCATATGGAGTGATGGCCACTGATCCACATGCAAGCAGTAAATAAAGAATTCAATGGCCTGCGCTTCGCATCCGCCTTGTCTCAAATAATCCGCCTGACCCCCTTATTTAATAAAAACCTACCCCTGCCGAAATAATCGCCCAGGAAAGAAATCCTCGGTAATAATTGACCAACTGTCAGATTAGAACGCGCGCTCGGATTTGGACAGTCAAAATAAAATCTAAATTACATTACAGTAAATAAAAGCACGTTCGAAGGTGTAGCCGTGTAGGTGAGGAGGAGGAAGAGGAGAAGGATGCGTGTATTTAATTTAAAATTTGGGGAGCCATAAAAAGTAAAAGACAACAAAAGGAACAATCGCTATTAAAGTGTTGAGGGGTTTTTTTTTTTTTAACTGGTAGTGAGGTCAGGCAATCACGTCACTACAGAAACCCTACAATAAAAAACTGGCCTATATTAGCTGCCTACCATGTTTGCAGTACTATAAATATCCATTGCAGGGCCTGTGGCCTGTCCTCAATGTGGGTGAGGACTGTAGCTGCCCTTTGGCATTGTGCAGCAACACTCTCTTCCTCTCAGTGCATGTCACTGTCAACCTTTCACTTCTCGCTCTCTCTCTACTTGGCAACGTTTTTTCCCTTTCCTGGCACTCTTCTTTCCCTATATTCACGCCACTGCCACTCTTCTGGGCTTCATTGCCCTCCTCATCCTCCCTCGTCCTTCAAAATCACTCCCACTTTTACCTGTTCAACCCTTCTGTCCCTTTGTGCATTTTTGGTAACCCCGCATAAAAATATTACCTCAAATAAATCAAAGCCCTGCCGCGCATATGCTTATCCGCTTTTCTCACGCTTTTATTTCACCAACTTGTTATATTGCAGCGTTAAATCTCCACTCTATATTTTGCCCTAGTAACTCGAGCAACTATTATTTTTCAGTTACGACGAAAGTGACCGCCGGCTGGTACCTTGGATACTATATACTACATGTGCATGCATGCCAGGGTCAACACGGATGTGGAAGTGATGAGCTTAATGGTTGAAGAGAGAGAATGTCTAGGTAGCTAGGGTCTATAAGTGCTCTAGCTTCAAGGAAGAATATGAATGATATTTCACGAAAAGGCAGGTGGCCAGGTTGAAATCTCGGTCACGTTGATGATCCTTCTTCATTTGTGTAATCAATCACATGAAAGCATCTAAATGATGGGTGGGGTCTCTCCAGGAAGGAACATGTTCCTTTTTCCTTTGTTCAAATGTGTAAACCAACATGGGTGATTGCCAATTGCCACAAAAGGATGCGGATCAATCACGAACGTCACTTTTTACAAAAGAGGGTTACAAAGAGAATCGGTATGTTGAAATGCCAGCCAGCGTAATATATGCAGCCTGCCCCAACAAATTGCTTTGATATAGATACTGTATCGAGTATAATCACCAAATGTTTCAAAATTGATATGCATCAGTGCATGCCCACTTTCCGTTATACTTCCTGCCTTTTCACTGGTGTTGCTTTTCCGGGAAGAGGAGGCTGCGAGTAACAACATTTACTGTGTCTACTGTTGATTCTTGAAACCTTGGAAACATACGAGAGCACTGTGTCGCTTTTTAGTGCAGCTCCGGGCAAGAAGAAAATTATAAAATCGGTGGGTGATAGATAAAAGTTTTATTAGTCGGTACTTTAATAAGGATCTCTCCATGCTAAGCTTTATTTAAAGGTAAAAAGGATGCTAATTTGCTGCTAAAGGTGCTTTGTCCTAAAATAGGAAAGTTAATCAGGCCGGAGTAAATAGAGCGCGAGTGTGATTGATGGAATGAACTGAGACAGATACCTCAAAAAATTTGACAGCAGGGAAGTAAGTCCTCGGCTAGGATTCCCGAAGTGTTAAATAACCATTTATTGAAAAAACCCCCACGCGATCGTGCTAACTGTAAGCCTTTTTTCTTTTTTTCGTTTGGTGGATCTCAGTCATTATTTGCCTTTTTTTTTTTTGTATATTATTTTCATTTTTATAAAAAAGAAGCAAAAGAATTTAATACGGCGGCTCGTTTTTTGCGAATCTATGTTTGTGGGCTTAAGGAGTGCCTTACTGGCCCAACAGGGAAGTTGTTGCACTAGATATGCTCAAATGGGTAAAATATCGATGACTGATTTTGTTGTGGGAATAATAAAGGAATAATTACATTCAGGTCTTATAAAAAAAATTATTATCGAAAAATTCTATAAATTTTAAAAAATATTTTATTATTTTAAATTCTACACATTGATAACATAACTGGGGCACTACCCGATTATCAATACCCTTGATCAAATTGTCAATGCATAAAATTTAAAACTTTGGAGTGTTTTATAAAATTTAGAAGATCTCTTGAAAATAAGTTTTTTTTGTGGGATCTGAATATAATTTTTTCAACAATAAAATCAATGTTTAATTTTTTTTTTAATCAGTTTTACTAAAACTGGTATTTCCTGCTTGCTTTTTGTTGCCTCGTGAAAATCATCATCCACGCCATTGTGTTAAGAGTCTCCTCCTAGTTCTGTCATGGTAACGCACGTCCAGAACAGAAGTTACAGAACAACGAATTCTCAAAGAGAAACGAAGCTTCAGGTTAACATATAGTGAGGGATTTAAATATTCTAAAATTAGAATTGGGAATTTCTATGAAGTTTTCTTTTTTCCGTATTTTTACTTATTTTATTATTTTTTATAAAATATAAAATTTTTCTTCCTTCCTTAGAAACGAAAACTTCATAAAAATTCATCAATCTCTTTAGAGAATTTAAATCTATAGCGAGTACTATATACATCAGGGATGAGTGTTGTTGCTATACTCAAATTGTTACCGTCTTGGGGTCGCTAATGTTGAAAAATGTGATTAATTTAAAGTTACTAACGTGATTTCGTCCAATTACATTAGCAAGGAGCTGGCAAGAGCGCAACCACTTTAAAGGAGGGGCTGCAGTCGCACGGAGTCAATGAAAAACGTGTAGCGGACTTTCTAATGTGTCTGCGTGGTCACTGTGTTTGCACCTTCTGATGTGCATTCCTTCGTGTCGCATGGCCCAAGCCCGTGCTTGGTCATTGGTTTTGGACAGGTGGCATTCAGCCCATTATGATTCACAATTTTGTTTTTATTTTTTTTCTACTTCATGTATCTCGCTAGTATTTACTTGCTTGCTTAATTCTCCACACCTATTCTAGGGGTGTAAATGGGCCAAGTTGGGCCAGCCTCCCCTTAACTCGGTGCCTAACTCTATGTACATATTCAAACATTGGGATGCCTGAATGCTTGAGCCTCGATGCTTGAATTTTATTTTAAAAAATAAATACAAAAATAATTTATTAAAGGATATAAAATATAATTAAAATTATTTAAAAAGAATTATTTATAAAAATAATGCTAGAATTCAAAACAATAATTTTTTAAATTGTATATAATTAAAAATATTTATCATTTTCACATGATATAATGTAAAAAAATCAATTTTAAATATTTAATGATTAGAAAAATTGAAATTATAACAGAAATTCATAATGAACATAAAAATAATCTAATACATGAAAAATTAAATAAAATAGCATTATAAAATATTTAATTTTTGAAAAAAAATAGGAAAAAATATACCTTTTAGTCTCTGCACTTTACTCGTGTTTTACTATAAATTTCTATACTTTTTTTCAGTGTTTTGGGTCCATATATTTTTATTTTTTTAGTATTTTAGATCTCTAAATAAACAAAATGAACAAAGTGTAGAAATTTTAGATGAACATAAAATATTAAAAAATAAAAGTATATGAACCCAAAACACTAGAAAAAATGCAGGGATCAAAAGGTACGTTTTTTTTTTCAAAAAAATAAGTATTTCGAGCCGAGAAAGGTTAGGCTATGATTGATCCCAGCCCACTCAGCCTGATTGGCTTGGGTAGGACTACACTGATCGAACTTTTAGGCCACTTGAATAGGCCTAGCTTTTATTTAGTCATGTGTTCTTCTCAGTCCAACAGTCCCTATCTAGAGACCTTCATGAGACTGACTCGAATATCGTCTTTCTATATTAGATAAAATCATGGCATTCTCTGATTCTCCTTATACCCATTTGTCAATTATTAGGTTTCTTTATCGGTTTGGAAATAATCCCTCTAAATCATCTAACATGCCTTTCTTGTCCAACTTATCCTCTATTGCTAATGTCCTTAGTTTGTGAGGTTCAAGGTTTTTCATCATAATGGTAAGTGTTTGTTTCCAACATATTTCTTTTAGATTTTGTTATAAAATGTCTTATAATAGAAGAGATTGATGTTTCATGATAAGATAGATAAATTGATGATTCTTATTTGATGAGGCATTGATTACATTTTCTCCACACTACTCTCATTTGAACTCATTAACTATAGAACAAAATGCAATGTAAATTTAAAACTTTCTTTATTTATATATGGGTAATTTTTTTTCTAAATAGTTAAGAACAAAACACCCTCTCATGGATCGCAGTAAAATAGTAAGATGTGTTTTAAAGTAATAGAGACAGGACGGAGTAATAGAGAGGCTAAGGTCTTGTTTAGTTACTAAAAGGAAATATAATGAAGTAGATTGAAAAAAGGTAAAAATAAAATGATCAAAGGTAACAGGTGATTATATTCATAAGGGAGATAGATAATTTAGTTTATAAAATTGGGATTCATGATTCATGAAATTTTTTTAAGGATATAATGATTACCACATTTATAATATATATTAATAAGCTTTATCATACTTACCATTATAAGGGATGAAAATGATTTAATTTATTTTTGTTTTGATTTTTTTAATTCATTTCATTTCATTCCTTTTGACCTAAGTGATTAATTAATGCTAATATGGTGATAGTGATGCATTGGGAATGATACCACTCCCACGTACATAGTCGAGTCAATCGAGTCTCTCACACTCAACCAAGTCCAATAAGTCAAATTGGACATCGCAATATATATGTTACATTTGCAGTATCCATACTAGAGTGATAATTAACAAACTAAGTAATAATCTCAACTTCTTCTAAACATGATCTATTCACATTCACTTATTTTTATTCCAAATATAAATTTCAATAAAATATGAAGAGCCTTGCCTTTAGAAGCAATAGCTTCAGCTTCATTAACTCCATATTACGTGGTGATTGACCAGTTTGGCTCTTCCTTCCCAAACCTAGCAAAGCTAGTAACAACTTGTCTATTGTCTGATTTTTCTATCTTCTTGATCTCCTCCTCATAAGTAAAAGTAAAAGGGTCATCAATGCCACCACTCCTACCTCAACCCCTCAAACTAAGTCTCAACTTGATCCTAAATCCCCAACACCTATCACTTCCTACACCACCACCTCTCCTTTCTCATTCCGCCCCTCTGATCCTTACACCACTTTTATTGTAGGCTACATGCTCATTTCCAATAATACCTCCATTTATTGCCTTCTGTCAAGTCCCACATCGGAGGGACTTGAAAAGAATCCTAACTATATAAGTAAGTGCGCTGCACACTCCAATGAGCTAGCTTTTTGGGGAGAGAATAATGGCCTCGTGATAAAGTGATATCAGAGCCAGACATGAGTTTACCCAGTTGGTGGGCCCTTTTAATGGGCTACCCGTGACGGGGCATCATAGATTGACAAGGGTAGCTATTAGGTCACACATCGAAGGAACTTGAGAAAGACCCTGGCTATATAAATAAGTGCGCTGCACATCCCAATAAGCTAGCTTTTGGGGAAGAGAGTAATGGTCCCATGACACCTCACTCCCTTACCTGTTACTCTGAAACCCCAATAAGCTAGCTTTTGGGGGGGAGTAATGGCCCCATGACACCTCACTCCCTTACCTATTACCCTGAAATTTGTTCTGTTACCAACAATCTCCTCCACAACTGCTACTCTTCCTCTTCCATTCCACATTGACACTACACGTGTTTATTTATTTAATTTTAATTAACTAATTAATTTGATAGTTAAACTTCTTTTTAAATGGAATCCCAAAATTTCACCATTAAATAAATAAATATTATTTAAAATAATATTAAATTAGAGTTACAGAGTATAAGAGAGTATGAGATACTAATCATTTGGAAAACATTAAAAAAAGAAAAAAAAATATCATTTCATAAAATTATGGATTGTTTGCCACAGCCAACGATGCATTTACCGCGGTGAGTCATGCTGAGGCTAATTTAATCTACATAATAATCAATATCATATATATAAACAATGAGGGTAATTTGATTAAAATTTTAAAATTTAGCATTAGCTAAGGCCCATGATGAACAGTGCCACGTGAATAGTTACAGAGTCAAAAAGTTAACGGTCAAAGTTTATTTTGTTATGAATTTAAAAGTTTAAAATTTATTTTGTACATTTTAAGAGTTTAGAGTTCAGGATGATTTTCGAACAAAAATTAAGAGTCCTATTTACTTATTAATCCTAAAAGAAAATATAAGTCTCATCCTCAAACTAGACAAGAGACAAGTATAATAAAACTCAATTTTTCATATCCACAAGGTCACGAATGAGCCAATGAGACATTGATATTCTTCAAAAGATAAATGTGACAAAATATCATTTAAATTTGTCCAATTCTTGCACAATACCCTCATTATTATCATCCCGTATTTTCCATAATTTTCATACACAAGTTGTAATTGCATTGTACATAGATTTTTTTTTTTTTGGTTGCAAAAGAAGAGGGAGGGAAAAAAGAACTATCTTTATTCTTTACACAGACAAGAAGTATTGAAATTCATAGTCATAGGGTATCTTGTCCACAATGGTGGATGCCTTGATATTGGCATGGCCTCTAAAACAATCCACCATTGATTTCCTTAGACTACCTGAGGTTGGTAACTGGTTACACACCCATTCCACCAATGAGTCCGTGTCCATCGCAAAATCAAGCATGTTCCTCAGTAACAGCTCTGGAAACGCCATTCTTCTAGTGTTGGTCACCATAATTGAAGCTTGCAGATAGTCTAGTTTTGATCTCTCCAACTCTGTTATCACCCCTTCCGCTGTGTAAATCCTTACCTGCATTTATACACAACACAGCTTCATTGTTTCGGTTGCTTACAGTGGACATAGAAATTAGAGAAGCCCGCTGATCCATAAAGAAAGCCTCGCTTTTTGGATTTTCAGTTCACTTACTGCAGGGGAAGAACGAGTTCCGCAGCACAAAGCGAATAGGACGTTTCGATCCATAGATTCAAGACCATATAGTTCTCGTACTATTGATTCTTTCTCCTCCCACTCGCTTTTTCGATGTACCTATAGCCATGACCAATTGAATTAACAGTGTTCCATCAAATCGGTTTAGTTCTGCTATATATCAAGGGAAACCACAGGACTTACCTCTTTTATATTTGAAGCTGCTCTTTTCCTTAAAATGAGATGCTCTATCGTTTGAGCATTCATTGTGTTGCCTCCTACATTGAGAGTTGCCTGCATCCAAACACTTTCATTTACCTTCAAAATCTCAAGAATTTAGGAACAGGGCAAGTATCTTCTGTGTCAAGATTCTTATTGTACCTTGTTCATCAGTGAAAGTAACTTTTCCGGTGTGGATGGCACCCCGTATTGGATAAAACCCTGAGATAAATACCTATGCAAATTAATTATCGTTCATTTTCTAGATTTCTCATTCACCAGATGAAAGGAGAAGCCGAACAGAATGCAAAGGGAAAAAAAAGTAATAATGCAAAAACCAAACTGGTTGCACTTAACAAAAGAATAGAATCAAATTTACCGTACGTGCATGATACAAGCGTTGTACATGTTGATCCAGAATGCTAACTTCTGTTGATAGGTAAGGCTGCTCAAATCAGCTGTCTGAAGATTATTCATCAATACCCTGTACTCCATCAGAAACAAAAAACTGAGATTGTGTATATGAATTTTTGAGGTAGGCCAATTTAATTCTCACTGTGGTCGATATATGAAATATTTGATTAATGGTATACCTTAACTTTCTAAGTAATGGAACAGAGGAAGGACTTGAGATGAACTTCGAATCCATAGAAGCGGAGGTGAATATAACCAGATTCTTGTAAGGACCAATATCTCGGGGAATGGACTCCTCTGCATCGAAAATTCCATATGGGTCTTGCTGCCTTGACTCCCTCTGCAACATAAGGCTTGATTTTGGGTTCATGCCAGGATCCACCCTGAAGCTTCTTGCGCTTAAAGAAGAGTGCACAGACCTGGAAATGGGCCCTGATTTTTCCAACTCTGTTGCTCTTGATGTTCTGAGTAGTCTCACGTATATGAAATTCAAACACTTCATGATGCTCTCAGAAAGCTTGTTGGGTTGCCATTTCAGATCGTTCTCTTCTGACAGAAGTGGGTCCAGTAAAGATTTTGTTGGCGGATCTATATACATCTCTAAATTTCGTTCCCTCAGCTGAAAACCGAAATCAAAGTGATTGGAAATCAGTGAACAATGATATCTAATTCCAAATTTAGTTTAACCAGATTTTACCACACCATACAGGTTGGGGTAAATTTTTAAACAATACACAGTGCTAAAAAAGAATATCAAAGTTATAGCGTGTTTGAATTTTTATATATAACTTTTAATATGCCACACTGTTTCATGATGTGTATGAGTTCCATAGTTTTGGCTTCTATGTTTCTATAATCAACAAACCTCTTGAACAAAATTAGATGGATATATTTCAATGGCATGAATAAGGAGTGATAGGCATGCTTAACTACCTTAGGTGATGGATGGCGAGGGTCTCGAAAAGGTGAAGAATTAGGCTTCAGCGTCCCCCCTTTTCTCGGATGCCTATCTTGAAATTTCACATCTTCGTGAAAATTGTTTTCTTTCTGTTCATCAGAACTTTTCAAAAACCCAGATTTCTCATTAAGAGTGAAGTCATTGAGATGATAATCGCCCTTTATAGCCTTGCTTATGAAGTGCAATGCCTTTGTCTCAAATGCCATTCTCTCATGAACACTTCTTTGAGCAGGGCTTGGCATTGGAATTGGAATTGGTGCAGGTGATAAATAACTGTTTGAATTGTTCAGCTTGTCTTGATTCCAAGATTTTGATTTTGATTGTTTAGTGGCTTCTTGTTCCAATTTCAAACCAGCTTGAAGTTGGCTTATTTGGGATTCAAGTCGCGCTATCTCACCCTCAACCACAACTAGTTCTGTTAAAAGCTCTTTTGTCTATTCAAATGACAAGGATATCAAAAAAATTAATTAAATATTTTTAAAATGAAAAATAAGGCGGGGAAGTTTGAAGTGGGTACTGTATTACCTTGGGAGGAAGAAAATTTGGAATTGATATGGCTGCACCGTTCGGCCGATTATAAACCATCTCCAAAATCTCATGAACCTTTTCTTCTTGATCCAACAACCTTTGAAGCATAGATACCTAATTGTTACGTTAAAAAAGACATCACATAATTCTCTATCATGCAAATATACATATTAATATTTCCACTAGAATATGCTTGTTCATAAATCATCCTATTGAAAGCACAGTCCATAAAAAGGGTCGTCCTCATTTATTACTCACCATCCTTATCGGCAATTAGATGAAATTTGTAGTTCCAACAGTTGTTCTTTATACTATACTCGTGATAGGAATAAAGTTACAGGCCCAACTTTTAAAGGGGGGTGAAGGTTATAATTCCCATTTTGATTGGAACAAAAGATAATAATTAAGACCATAGAGATCACCTATGTTCTATAAAATGTTGTTTTGTGCCAATGGTGAAATGATACAGAGTTAATCAACGCAACTAAGCAGATAATGAATTACCCAGTTCGTTGCAAACAAAGTCTTAAATAATATAGCAGTAAGACTGTTAGACTGGCACACATATATGGCTATTTCAAATGTTTTTTGGCGCCTAGATCAGGTAAATCACCACCCATTCAGGCTAGCAATCTAGCACGCAATGATTCTATTTCAGGCAGTTTGGCTATACTCGGACTAAGCGGCAAACTCTTCATTATGTGGTCGCAATGGACATGAACATGACACAATTTTAGGACTATATCGATCATTCTTCCAAGGTAATTACAGTTCTCGCATTCAATACTCTAAAAACAATCAAGAGGGCAGCGGAATTGTGTTGTGCGCAGTCAAAATTCACAATACCTCTCTTTCAAGTTCCTTTCTTCTTTGATGACCATTGATTTTCTTCTTCCTCTGAAAACAAAGGAAGAAGCTCATAAGTGATGACGCGCTGTGATATTGATTAAAGGGAAACGAAAAAAATAAAAAGGGACCATTTCTGTCAAAGAAAGAAGACTTACAATCTCAGAAGGGGAATGAAGCAGTGAGGAATCTACTTGGCTGGCCATGGAAGAGAGTCGGGTATACCCAAGCTTGAACCTAGTCCGACGCTCGGAAGAAACATGGAAACAGCAGCTATTAAATTCATGAGAGTGTTGGTGGGAGGAAAACACAAGCTTGGGCCAAAAGAAAGAGGGCAAGAGGGCGGTTGATGTTGAAGTAGAAGTAGTGTGGATTGTTCGAGAAGATGAGAAGTAGCTTTCAGAGAAGATGTTCATTGAGTTGGTTCAGGCACCCCGATAATAACCGCCTTCGTTGTGGTTGTGGGTGCTGGTGGGAGTGGGGCATCATGCACACACAAAAAAGACACCCTTTGGCTTTGCTTCCAATCCTGATTTTTCAGGTTTTATTTTGTATATTCTATTTCCTCTATTTCTAAATTATAACTACTTTTTCGCAGAGGTAAAGGTGAGCGGTTTCCTCACTGAAATTTGGAACCGGTCACATAATGGATCCGCCATGGACGAGTCTTGCACGAATATCAGAAAAAGAACATTTCTTAAAGCTTTGAAATACCGCAATTTCTCATGCACGGTGACTCATAATATTTTGCACACGGACCTGGAAAATTCAGTCTCGTTTTTTATGGCAATTCGGACTGATCGAGAGAAGCTTATGGAAGAAGCTCGGTCTGCTTTAATTTAAAGGTCTCCTTGAATACTAGTGTCAAGCAACTGGCGACTACGTTCCGATTTCCGGAGCTTCCAACTTGTGTTCAATAAGTAAGCTTTGCAATTGACAGTTAGGTAGAAGATAAAGTGTTCCCTTTGCCGCCTTCTTAAGATTTGTTTTGTTTTGTTTAATTTTCGTCGGATGTTTCTGACTTTGGGAGGAAGTTGGAATTATGTATCTAAGATTGAATTATACGAGAAGTCTGAGTTAGTGACGGAGACAACCACGTGTCCATTTTCCACTAAAAATAATCAATATCAATATTAGGTCCCAAAGCATGAAGACAATTATTTTTTTTTTTTGGGGTATAAATTTAAAAATGGAAGCGAAAAATGTTTGTTTCTCGTGTGCGCGCGCGCATGTGTTTTTTTGGGCACGGCATGTGCTTTAGTTTTAGTCATCCATTCATCAGAACCAAAAAGCACAAGGTCACGACTCATATTTATCACTGACTTCAAGGTTTGTTTTCTTTTCTTTTTTCTTTTTCAATTTTTCTACTTTCTGGATATAAAATCAATCTCGAAAAAATTTCATAAATGACTTGACCATTAAATTAATTGCTGAAAAGAAGTTGGGAAAGATTTAGTATTGAGGTCTTTCGCTGACAATAATTGTTAAGAGTTAAATGAAAAAAATATTTTTATTGATTAAAAAAAGGTAAAAGTTGAGCAAAATTTTTTGCTATCAATATTTTATACAAGGTTATCTGCTGTTGAAATGTCACAAGGTACTTTGTTGTTAATAATTTCATATCAATATTCAATACAAAGTTTTCAATGTCAATATATCAATTTGAAATACTAAAATCAAGAGTCTTCGATCATATACATCAATTTTTTCGTTATATACATTTGAAATTCAATTATATATAAAAAAATTCCATTTATTTGAATAACAATTTTTAATATTATGAAAATTCTTAAGTTAGACATATTCTAGAATAGTAGAAGCAGGGTCTTTAGTCATATGAAATGATTTTTTCACTATATGCATTTGAAATTTAATTATATGCAAAAAAAAAACTTTCATGAATTGAAATAATAACTTTTTATATTTTAAAAATTCTTAACTTAAAACCATATAGGAATACCAGAAATATAAGTCTTTAGTCATATGTAGCAATTATTTTGCTATGTGCATTGAAACTTCAATTATATGTAATAAAATTTTTTTTATTCAAATAACATCTTTAGATATTTCAAAAAATTTTAAATTAGATTGATACTACATGTTGTTATTCAAATATCACAAGTGCATACTCTGAAATTTTTTTTCATAAAAACATCAAAGGATATTTTGAAAATGCAAAAGATTATTCTGAAAATTTACTTATTTTTTATAAAAACATTTATGAATATTTTGAAAACGCTTACCAATATTATGAAAAAGAAAATGGTTATCCTAAAAATTTACTCATTTTTCATAAAAACATTATTGGATATTCTAAAAATACATATGGATATTATGAAAATGTAAATTATTATTCTAATTTTTTTTTCATTTTTCATGAAAAGACCTATGGATATTCTAAAAAATATATATCTTTAAAATATTAAGCATGGGAAAATATTGGAGAAAAATACAAGCTATATATTTATGAATAAGTTTATTAACACTAAATTAGTACAAACTTTTATATTTTATATGAATTTTGCAGCAATTACAATTTATTAATCCCAACTCTCAAAATGTCAAAGTAAAATAGAAGTTGCCATCTAATGCATAGTATTACATTTCATTAATGATTTTTCATGGACAATTCATCCCTGTAAGCTATTACATCTCATTTTTCAGTTTTGAAACTTTTTAGTGAAGTTGATAGCCTTAAAGCTCCTCTTCTCTCTTGTCCATCAAAGCCGCAGCAATGTTAAGCATACTTGTCATAACATACATGAATGAGAATCATCATATTGAATGTGCAAGCATGCTAAGTGAGGAGAATTTTATGATAAGATTCAAAATGAAGCCAATCTAATATTACCTAAGTTAACATACATATTATTTATTACCATCACACCTAGCTCTCTAATTCAGTCCATTAATTGCCAAAAAACAAAAATCTTGTAAAACATATACTATTAAGTTCAAAAATAATTTTTTTATACAAGCTGTTTCTATAAAACATACTACATCAATCTAAATTTTAGAATTTTCACTCAGATGCATTGTTGTAATATTCTCCTCCTTTTAATTCCATAATTAAACCCAAATTTCAAGTAATTAGGAAAATGAGACAATAATACTCATTAAATACAGAATTCTCATGGTTAACAAAATGGGGACCCCAAGTTTATAAAACTAAAATCATTTCAAATCTTGCAATAAGACAAATCAAAGTTTGCAAATACGCGAAAGCAAGGGATCATTGCATAAGTAAGCACATTGGTGCAAGAATTTGAAACAAAAAAATTTTGAAAAATTTTAAGGCGTGCATCGCGACTCGTTGAACATGCGCCACAACGTGTTTGCCTCTATGACGTGTGCCACGGCTCATGACACCATACGTCACGGTACAATTGCATGAATTTTGACAGTGAATTCTGCTGTCAATTTAATAGCTTCAGGGCCAACTTAAGATGCACCCTACAACTCAATCTGACTTTCAATTAATATGAACTAGGAGTCTATAGAAAGCTCTTTTCAGACTCTAATTAAATGCATTGATCTTAGACTCAAGTTCTTTTTAAAACAAGAATTGAACTCCCTTTTCAAAACTTATGCTATTGTGACAAATTTCACATTTTCAAATGTCCAAACCAAATACAAAAGGCCATAAGCCACCAACAACAATATCACCACATACAATTCATCAAAACCAACTTGTGTAATGCACCATAGCATAAGGGATATTTCCAGATTAGATTTTTACTACTCAACCCTTTAAACTCAAAAATATAGGAAGGGAGAGTTTACCATAATTTTCATCAAGATTTTCCAGATCATCACATAATATTCTCTACCCTCACTTGCATTAGTATTTTAGCCCTATCATCAGAACACATAATAATCAACTCTCTTTCTAGGACCTAAAATACCATTACAATTTACATTTCACTTAATGCAAGCAAATAACAAAAATAACAATTCTAGTTGGCAATCAAAATTGACATACACATAAGTTACCCAAAATAAGGAGGCCTATTACAAATGGATCATGATCAAAACAAAATATTAGAGACTCTGCGTCATGTGCTGCGGTGCATGCACAATGCGCCATGGCATGTGGCACAAAGACCGGAGTCCTGAAGATGCATATGCACTGCAGTGCACTATCAACACGCTGTGGCACAAATCCACATTTTACCACATGCGCCACGGCATAATGTCAACACGCCGCGACATATGGCCTTAATTTTGTTGCGCGTTTTGAGCTTCAGAATGAAAAAATTAGGGTAGAAAAAACATAAACGCGCCTACAGAATAGGAAGCACGACTTGGAGAGATTCTTGGAGGTTTGCTCTGCTAGGGTTTGGGGTTCTTGAAGGAGATTTAGCCAAGGATTGAAGATTTAAAGAGATTCAAGTGGATTTCTTTCAGTTTTTCTTCTTCTCTTCCCTTTTCTCTCTTTGTTTTTGATATGGATGCTATATATTATAATATTTATGGCTCTTTTCTAAACATGAGTAGCTAGTTCCCTTGTTTTAGGATTATCCCTCCCTTTTATATTTCATAGAACTTAAATTAATTCCTCTCTAATATATTTTTAATGAAAATAAGTGTTAGTCTTAAAATTCTAATTCACTTGAAGAAGCTTTCTCAAGTCAAAATCAAGTATATTTGAAAACACTAAAATTTTACAATCCCTTGAAAATAATTAGTGCAAACAAATTTCAAACACCAATCTTAATGAGACTATAAAGGGTTAATAAAATATCTCTATTTTACCAATAAAACCATCCATATATCTTTGCAAAATTTCAAGTCCAAAGCTTTAATTTTATGAATCAAGCATTCATTGATATTTTACTCTCTTATTTAGAATACTAGCTTGAACAACTGATAAGGACAAAAATTTAACGTGCATGCTAGATGTCTAACCTGTACATTTAGTTGTTTTAAGTGTTTCACTCGAGGACGAGCAAAGATTTAAGTTTGGAGGTGTGATAACTTATTGAAATTAATGCTAATTCAGTGCATTTTCCTACACTTTATGTGCTAAATTAGATTAATTATGAATATTTTAGGTTCAATATAGGAAAATGAGTGTCATTTCAAATTGACATAGAAAATAAAGTTTATTGAGAATTTTGCAAAGATGCTGACTTTGATTTTAAACTTTAAAAAATCTCATAACCTTATTTATTATTTCAGGTGATTTTTGTTAGATATTTCTAAAGAAATAGAGCCAAACAATGATTGAAGATGTATATGGAAGTAGAATAGCAAAAAAATAAAAGTCAAAACAAAAGATTAGAGACTCTGTGTCATGTGTCGTGGCGCATGCATAGTGGGCCGCGGCATGTGGCACAGAGATCGGAGTCCTGAAGATGCATGTGCACCGTGGTGCACTATCAACACGCCATGGCACAAATCCACATTTTGCCCCATGCGCCATGGC